AATAATTTCCATACGAGTCACCTATACAAGGACAAGTTCTTAGCTGCCAATGGGGCTCGCATGGGCTTGGATTCTGTTGCTATTGAAATCTAATAACGTATGACCGAAATGAAAGATGGGGTGGTCATCGCTGGGTCTCCCGTCCTACATGAGAACGAGATACGAGAAACTTGCTAACTGAGATTTATACAGCCATGAACAGATAATATACGCACCGCGATCCTACAATCCAAGATGCTAACAAAACATTACTACAGAGCCCCTTCAACCTGATTCTTGAGCGGATGTCTAGTGAACACCGTCCTCTCCCATCCATCAATGTCGTCAAAAATGGTCTCCCGGACCAGTTCATATCTCCCTACTTTCGGCAAGATGATGGCCCAAACCAGCCAATACACACCACCGGCAAAAATAACCCCAAACCCGACAACACAATGGATCCAGTACGGCAGGGACTGGTATATGTTCTGGCCGTTTTCTGGTGGGACGAATGGTGCAACTATAAGGTAAACGTTGCTGAGGAAGAAAAAGATGACGACGGGAAGCGTAGCGCTGATTGGGGGGTCCCAATTCCAAGACTTGCGGTTCAAGTAAAGGTAGATCAACCCTGCCGACACGAAGGCGTTTACAATAGCAAGGGGATATGAGATTAGGCTGTAAAGTATTTCGGTTAGTGAGTTGGGACAATGGCAAAGAATGGGATACACGGAGAGCCCTGACTCACTTCAAAATAAAGTCGTACGCATCCCCAGGGTGGGGGAGCAAGCATGATAATGACGGAAACAAGCCAATGTTCGAAGAGGCCGGGCGAGTGGGGGCATTGAATGGGCGGTTGCTAGCCCAGATCCGAGAGAAGGGGAGAATGCCCTCACGCCCCAGCTCTTGCACAAGCCGGCCCTGCGAGAATATGACGCTGAGCACATTGCCGAACGCCGAGAGCGCGACAAACACCGAGAGCGCACGCTCGGCAGTGCCACCAAAGACGTTTCTAAACAAGGACGCAGCAACGAGCCGCCGGGCTTCGAGAATTTCCTCTTTGGGGACCGCAGCGAAGTATGCGACGTTGACAAGCATGTAGAGGATCGAAATTGTCTCGATGGCCATTGGCGCCGGCAATCTTAAGGGTACGCACGGGGGCGTGTGTCTCTCCGATAGGCTGTAGTTAGCATTGCTGAAGCCGACAAAACTCCAGATTACGTTATACAGGGCCGTGACAACGCCATAGGCACTTCCTGTCGTTCCCTCGAACGCGTTGGTGAAGTTATGTGGTCGGCGCTCCTCGGGGAGCTTGAGGTGCCCCGCAAGGGCAACCCAGCCAGTGATGACGATGATGAGGATGATAATGACCTTGATAGCTCCAAGAAAGTTCTGGAGGCGAATACCCCATTTGAGCGCCGTACCGTGGATGAGAAACGCGGCCGTGATACAGGCAATGCCAATCCCCCGCTGGTTCCACCGGTCCACTTCAATTTGAGCTGCGTGAAGAATATATTCGCTGGCAAGGGCAACGCGCCCCTTCCGTTAGCCCACGCCATGGGGAATGTTGGGAGAGGGGAGAAAATCAAGGTTCGAGGGTGGTAAGAAGCGATGTCAAGGGGCGCCGCGGAAAGAGCCCGGTGAAATCACTTACCCAAAGATGACTGAGTTACCACTAGCCCAGCCGAGCAAGACCACATAACCGGTGTACAGGCCAGTGACCAGGAACTTTGGTCTCCTATAGACGTATTCCAAGTAGTTCTTCTCGCCCCCGTTTTGTGGAATGGCGGTTCCAAACTCCAGATACACGGCGGTCCCGGCGAGGGCGATGATTGCGCCAGCTAGCCACATGAACAGTGAAAGGCCAACACTGCCAGATAACGCTAGAATAGAGCCCGGTGTTGCGAAGATACCGGTGCCGATGACGCGGTTGACGACGAGGAAAGTGGCAGACACGACCCCGATCTGTCGTTTGGCATCTTGTGCTTGTCGGAGTTGACCTAGGAACCCAGTTAACCAATTTGATCGAGGTAAAATTAATTATATGTGAGAGAGGTCAGGCCCGACTAACCAACTTGAGCGTCATGGTCGTCAGAGGAAGCAAGCTCGCTATCATTGTTATCCCCCTTTTTGGCGGCGGTGGCCTGTGGTGTGAGGGCCTTCAACATGGCAACGCAAGATTTAACGACCTGGTTGGGAGACGGGGAGGGAGGATTGGGACGTGGGCCAGAGGTTCAGGATTAAAAAGAAGTTCCATGGGCCTTGTCTGCGGCAGGGATGGGTGTGCTCGAGGTTCACTGACCCACAGCTGACCTGACAAGAGAGGCAGGCGGCGAGATCCCTGTCCAAACTGCGGGTGCTGAGGGCTTTGAAAATGGAGCCCAAGGCCGAAACGAGCTGAGAAAAGGTCGCATTATTCGAATTCCGTCAGCGATGTGGATGTCGTGATCTGGCGTCATTATTGGGTGTGGAGTTTAAAAAAACTTTTACTTGACACCTCACATAAAAGAGATAAAAGTACCTACCCAGGTAGCCTTTGCTAAGGCTCAAGACCTCAGGAACAAGCAGCTATAGATAAAACAATAGGAGTATATGAAACAACAGAGGCAATAAGAAGATGCTGAACTAAAACTCAAGGGTTTATAAGTATCTATAAGTAGTTAAGACGTTTGAAAATTATTATTATTATTCATACTCCGCTATGCCCTAGAGCGTGCCGGACCCTCTGCTATTTAGTGTACAGGAAAACCGTGCCCTCCCGGGCCGGGTGAAAAACCCATACCAACAACAATCAAGGAGCGATGCGTTTTAGTGAGCCCACATATACAAAGAGAGGAGGCCTCCTGGCCTCCGAACGGGGGCGCTTCAGGCCGCCGCTTCCAGCTCGAGCCTCCTGGCTAAGTTGTACATCGGCAGCTTCCCCGAGTCCATCAGCCAGTCGAGAACTCTCCTCGCGAGCCGTGCAGTCGTGGGATTGATGCCGTGTAGAACAGAGTAAAAGTCCCGTCGTGTCCGAATTCCAGTTCTCTCCCATCTTCTAGTCAACGGTGGGGCCAAACACCACACTACCAGGTGTTCGGCAGTCTCTCGTCCCTCGCCACACTCGCAGGCAGGAGTCAGAACCTCCGGGACTCCCCGTGTAAACAAAAAGTCCCGTAAGCCTATTGCTCCCGTCCGGATTTGAATCAGCAGTGAGCTCTTTGCCTTGCTGAGACCGTCGTGCCTCCTTAGGGTTTCGTTCCGGAATAGCGTCTCCTGCTGATGGTCAAAGTCGTCCGCCGGCCTGGTGATTGCCCTGCCGTCCCGTTCCTTTAACCACCTGGCTTTCCAAGCCTCTTCTACTACCCTGTTCGTATCAACGGCTCCCCCCGTCCAGCGCATGACCGTGCCCGCGGCTCTCTCCACCGCCGTAGGCCCTTGAGGTCCCAAGGTTCGCGGTCGGCCCCTGTTGCCCCTCCTCGAGCTGAGTCTCTGCTGAATCTTGCGGCAGGCGGTGAGGACAACGCTCGCCGCCGTCTTCTTGCCGCCTCGACCGTCGTCCAGATCGGGTCGTTGGAGTCGGTTTTCGAAATCTGCAAGCCGTTTGTTTAGGTACAAGTCCAATGGTGGTACCCATGTCTCTGTCTCGAGATTACGGATGGGGGTAGACTTAAAGGCACCCGCCACAATCCGCAAGCTCTTGTTCTGGGCCTTCCCGAGGGCCTTAGTGATGCCTTTCTTTGCCGGCTCGCCTCCCACATCCGTGGGGATGTGAAACGATGATGCGCCATAGGCCAGCGCCGACCGGATGCACTTTGTGTACACTTCTCGCGCTTTGGCTAGCCCCATCCCCCATGTCTTTGCCACGATCCTCGACAGGGCATAGCTCTGGGTCCTCAGCTTCTTCTCCACCGCCACCAGGTGGGCCTTCCAGTTGAGTTTCCAGTCCAACCAGACTCCCAGGAACCTGGCAGACCCTTCTGGTTTAACGGGGCTGGTGCCTCCCCCTGGGTTGGCAAGGTTTACTTGTTCGGTCCACTGCCGTCGCCCTTTGTTGAAATGGATCAGTTCGCTCTTTTCCGGGGCGAACTTCATCCCCCGACTGTCCGCCCATCGTATACACGTTTCCCACGCCGCCTCTAGTTGCCGGACATGGGCTTCGGGGTTTCGACCAAATACTAGAAGGTTGGTGTCATCCGCAAACCCTGTTATAGCCAAGTGAGGGTGCTCGTCTTTTAGCTGCCTGTATAATGAGGAAATGTAGAGGATGAAGAGAACAGGGGAAAGGGGTGAGCCTTGGGGGACCCCTGCCCGAATTGCCGTCGGCGCCGCCGTCTTGCCGTCGAAAAGAAGGGTGGCCTCTCGACCGGTCAACCAATCTCTCGTCCAGAGGACCAGCCACCTCGGGAAGCCCATTTCTCGCAAAGTTGCTAGCAGTCGGGTATGGTTGACCGTGTCAAAGGCTCCTGAGATGTCCAGTTGCAATAGGGATGCCGCACCCTTCTGTCTCCACGCCTCCTGGACCTGAGCTACTACTAGCCGGACAGCCAGCTCTGTAGAGCGGTGTGCCCTGTTCCCCATTTGTTCATCTGGTAGGAGGCCGTTGACTTCTGCAGCTTGAGTGACCTTCCTGGCGACCACTGACTCTATTACCTTCCCCAGGGTTGGCAACAGAGCAATGGGCCTGTATCCCCCCGGGGTCTGATACGCCGGCGGAGCCTTTCCTGGTTTCGGTAGTACTACAGTCTTCGCTCTCTTGAAACGGGCTCGGGGAACCATCCTAGCTCCAGGCACTTTGTCGCCAGAAAGGGCCGGGCACTTCAGGCTAACGGTGCTCCGCACGCCTTTCAGAAAGGCCCATCGGGGAGCAAATCCTAGCCTGGCGCCTTCCAGGGGCTTGCTCTTCCCATCGCCTCCGTGATCTCGATCGGCGTCACTGCCTGTACGACGTCGAAGCCCGGGTTCCAGCTGCCCAAAAAGGCTTGGTCTTCCACGTCCGTCAGGTTGGCCGGTGGGTCCGGGAAGAACCTCTCAGCCAGCGCGCTGGCCTTCTGGTCGTGCGTTTCGGCCGTTACCTGTCCGGAAGAGTCCTTAAATTCCGGCAGCCTCGGTGGTTCTGGCGGCAAAAAGCTCCGCAACCTAGCCCATCTTTCCAAGCTCCACATCTGATCGGGCTTCTTTGCCTCGCTTGCTTCCTGTAGGCTGTTCCTCCAAGCCCTAGTCCGCGCTTCGCGCGTTGTTCTAGCAAGGTCCTTGAGTCTTTCGCTAAGCTCCTCCCAGCAGTACTCTGCCCGGGTCTCCTTCGCCAGCCTCTCGGCCCTTCTGGCCTCCCGGGCGGCCTGCTGCACTTCCACAGTCCACCAGGGGGAGCTGTAGCCGCAGCTCGCCTTCTTCCGTGGAGTGCTTTCCTTCGCGACCCAGGTGAGCCACTCGACCAGACTATCGAAAGCTTTGTCAAGACCCTCGACTGTCCGGGTTTTGGCCGGTAGTCCGTCCGGTCCCGGGTCCGCGAGCCCCATGACCTTGCATAGCAACTCTGATTCAGCCTTCACCCTCTCCCTGTCCATCTTCTTCCAGGCCCAGCCATCCGGTTGGGTTGGCCTCGGCCCATGCCCTTCCCCGACCTCGAGCACTTGTGGGTAGTGGTCTGACTTTCCACGACACTCTTCCCCGTAGTATACTGTTTGGAGGTTTTCCGAAGTCCAGAAGTGGTCGATGGTTGACGGGCGGCCTCGCTGTCGCCCCTGGGGAGCTCGCGTTGTCGCTCCCCTTGGAGTCCTGATGGTGAGGTCCCACAGGGAACCCAGCTGCAGTAGGTCTTCAGATTTCCTGTCGTAGCGTCCGAACCCGTCCCACAGTGGGTTCTTTAGGTTGAAGTCTCCTGCCAAAACCACCGGGTGGCTTGGCCTTGGCTGCCCTTGGAGGGCTCTCGGTACGTTCTCGCCGGCGGGGGGGTTGTATACGGACCAAAGCTCGAATCCGCGGCTCTCCCTTCCGAGGTCCGCCTCTGGGAACCACACCTCGTATGGAAATTGTAATTAATAATAACGTAATAAAAGATGCGGCCTCGGGTACAATGTCCGAAGCCTGGTAATCCCAACAACAGAAATCTCCCCGGACATCCAACCTTCCGTAATCACGGAGTCTAGACGGTCAAGCTACAAGTTAAAAGGCTACTACTCGTCCTAGTCCTGGTTACGTGTTTGATAATACACCCCAGCAAAAAAAAAACCATTATATTATATTACAAAGGGTGCATCACTTGTATCCGCCCGTCACGCTATCACGCCGCCACAACATTTTTGACCACATTCGAGTTAAGTCTCTTCCACTCACTGCAGAGGCAGATTGCTAGACCCAGTCCAGCACCTCCAATTGAGATGCCGAGTGCAACCTTGATACCAGCCATGTATGCAACGATGATACCGTGAACCTGATCCGCAGGAAAAGCCGCCCAGATCAAAGTCGCTCCTGTTGTAACCACACTGGCCGGGTCGACGTCGGGAGCAGAGTTAGGCAGCGTGTAGATCATCTGATTGACAAAAGCAGCCTGGGCTGCCGTGACAAACGCGGTACCGCCGATACATTGGAAAACTGTATCAGGTGCGATTAAAATCGGCGAGAAATAGCCGCGGAAGGTATTGACTTACAAAGGATCATAGCAGTTACAGAGGAGATATCCTCAGGATCTGCGTTGGCTTGCCCGACGATGATGGGAACTTGAAATGCTAGGCCCCAGCCGACACCCCCAAGTAGCTGGTATCCGATCCACTTTTCAATGCCGGTGTCAACGTCAAGTGTATACAGGAGCCCTGCTGCAATGACACCGATGGTGGCACCACCGACTTGAATGGGAACCGCAAGGCCGGAGGCGCTGATGAGCATACCGGACATGATCATAGAAATCGTGGTGGCGATGATGAGGGGGAGGTTGTAGACGCCGGACATGGTCGGGCTAGCGTTTCCAACGCTCTGGAAGTAGATTGGGATGTAGTAGATGACGAGATAGTAGGACCCGACGAAGATGGAGGCAAAGAAGCAGCTAATGCAGATGGCCCGTTGTTTGAATAGCCGAGGAACGACGAGAGCCCGCTCGCCCTGGAAGAGTTCCCAAACGATAAACGCCACTGTTATCAGCAGGAAACCAACGAGTAGACCAATGACGACGCTGCTATTCCACGGCGCAGTTTGGCCACCATACTGCAGGGCCAGCATAAAGGCGACAATGGCACCCATAACCAGGGCCACGCCGACTGGGTCCATCTGCAAAAGCCTCTCCCTCCACGGGGCGTGAACCGGTTTTGCGGCGCTGGGCGGTTGGAAAAAGAAGAAGATTATGAGGGCGGACAGGCCCCCGATCGGAAGATTGATCCAAAAGCACCAGCGCCAGGTCACCTTGTCAGCGAAGACGCCGCCAATGAGGGGGCCCACAACGCAGGCGACGCCGAACGACATGCCGACGAAACCAGTGTAAGTAGCGCGCTTGCTGGGCTTGGCGACAAAGGCGATGATGGTGTAAGCGCCGGTGCCAATGCCTGCAGCGCCCAGGCCGTTGATGGCGCGGCCAACAATCAAGGCGGTAGAGTTTGGGGCGACAGCGCAGATCAGGCTCCCGAGTTCGAACACGGCAATGGCCATCAGGAAGGTAAACTTCAAGGGAAAGTAGCGGTAAGCTTTACCCCACGAAGACTGGAAGCCCCCGTTGGTCATGAAAAAGGCGGCGCTATACCACGACACCTTCTCCAGGCCGTGGAACTCATCGGTGATTTTCGGGATAGCGGTGGCGACGATAGTCTGATGCGATGCCCAGAATCAGCAAAGCTAACGTAAACGTCACACGGGACAGGCCAGTCTTTGTGTGAATGCGGTTGCTTACCATATCCAGAGAAGCGAGGAAAATGCCCATAACAAGCGCAAGAATGATGGAAAGAAGCTTGAAGCCACCGGGATACTCGGTCTCGGCGACATCGACAGCATGTTTCTCGCCGCCGAGAGCCAGAGACGTATCGGGTAGGACTAGGATGTCGTTGCTGATGGACTTTTCGTCTTGTTTCTCAACCGACGGTGCGCGAGACTCGAGATGGCCGGGCGTATCATGCGATTGTGTTTTCTTGAGGGTCGGAGGCTCGGTTTCGGTCGCTGTGGCGCCGACCGAGAGGTCTGGATGTATACTCATCGTCATCCAGCTTTGACGGACGGATGATTCTTGGTTTCTGAGGATGGATGAAGATGCAAGTTGCACGGGGTCGCGGCCGAGAGACTCAACAATGTTGTTGGAAGGTAGACCAGGAGGTCTGAACACAGGAAGGGTCAATGAGTCAAGGCCCAGAACGTGGTGGCAAGAGATCGGTCGGCTTACGCCAGGTGCGGTTGCATGCGGTGCCACCATCGCTGCTCAAAGAGAGATATCACTTACAGAGGGAAGAGGAAAAAAAAAAGGACAATTGATTTTGGCAGAGTCTCATAGCCTCCTAGGCTCAGCCGTGTGAATTCCCATCTTCCTGTGTGTGTGACACCTTGGATCAGTGGCTGTTGGTCTTCCAACAAATGTCGACACGGGCCGTCAAAGGTGAGTTGAGGTTGGGGATCTCGCAGAATCAGAGAAACAGACAACTGGAGTAAAACTACGGTCTATCAGACCCGAAATATTTACATTAATTAACATGGCTTTATTTTAAAGCTGCGAAAGGCTTGCAGCAATTGATAATGTCGAATGTGAATAAGTTCGGGTCAAGATGAATCACAATGAGAAAGGCGATAAAAGCACACCCCTAATTTCCCACCATTCACACCCACCGAAAAGTCGCCCCATATATAACAAGGGAAGGGCTCCCAAGCACCCACGAAATGCTATCAAGCACCCAGCTATACCTAATCGGGATAATCGTTTTTCTTTTACCAGTGACGGACCGTCAGCTCGCGTAACGTATGTAATTCACGTAAAACAGGGCTAACAGCGCCAAAAGTTCCGAGATTCCCCCAATGGCACAGCTAAATAATCATGTCAATTGACGTTGTTGTGACTTGAGAACTCCCCTTCAGGCACCTCTAACAGCCACTTGCCGTCAGGTAGCGGCTTGGCTGTCAGTGGAACTTGCAGCCGGTCATCTGGGTGCTGGACTTCCTCCGCTTGCTCTCGTGAATTTCGGAGGAGCGTTGATCCTTGTACTTGCGAGCCTTGGCACATCTGAACTTGTATTTGAGTCCGTTTTTCCCATTCCTGACGATGCTATAGCCGTGTTCCTGTCCGTGAGTGCAGATATCTTGAAACAGGTCGTCTAGGCTCTCGTAGATCTTGACGGGTGGCGGCGGGCCGCACGGTCGAGGGATCGGTTCCGTGGAATGCTCTGTCATGGCAAAGGTACCTATTCTAGAAGTGCATCGAGAGGGTCAATTTGAGCCCCTAAGCATAAAAGAAATGGCAGCGTACCGGCGTGAGGGCATTACATGAAGAGATCGGGTTGTCGATGTGACTGGGTCGTCGGCAATTTTGCTGCTGCTTCGGCGCTGTTGATCTCGAAGCGACTTTGCTCTGGTCACGCAACGGTATGGTAAGCTGGCCAGGTGACAGCGGCCCAAAATTTTGGTATTGGTGATTCACTCGGACGTATGGAAAAAACGATTATCCCGATTAGGTATAGCTGGGTGCTTGATAGTATTACGTGGGTGCTTGGGAGCCCTTCCCTATAACAATTAGTTTTACATACAACTATCACAGCACTTCCCTCACCATTCTCCTCATAGTAATGAGAATGCTGATGTGCCTGGAGGAACGTACGAGGAACGAGTACTTCCGAAAGGTTCCTTTGCCTGGAGGAACGTGCGAGGAACGAGTACTTCCGAAAGGTTCCTTTGCCTGGAGGAACGTGCGAGGAACGAGTACTTCCGAAAGGTTCCTTTTCCGACAAAAACCATGCTATGCTCCAAGCACGGACCACTTCCGCCCCATAAAACGCCCCATCAAACGCCCCATCAAAACGCCCCATCAAAAAAAGCCGCGCCATTTCTCCCTGTATACTGTGAAGTTTACTGTCATTATCCTAACGATTGTGGAAGCAGCCATGTTGCTTTGCCTGGAGGAACTTGCCTCTGACGATGAGCGTCTCGAAGTTGGGCTTGGCAGTGGTGGTGCACGGACGGCCTGTTGGGGTCTGTCGGCTGTGGGGCTGGCCCCGGTTTATAAGAGCCAATGAGATGGCGCAGCCCTAGGCAGCTTCACCGACGACCACGGAAAGATGCAGATTGCAGGGCAACACGGCAACACGGCAACAAGGTGAGAAGGAAAATATTAATTGAAGCAGCTTATTCCGCTGGAAAAGAGCTCCAAAACAGAGCAACGGTGGAGAGCTGTGCTACGATCTGAGCTCGGAAATCCCAGGGTCTCGCCAGAGCGCCGCGTCCTCTACGTCATCGGTTTCAGTCCCCTGGCCAGATTCTGGCATGGCAGCCCATTCTTGAAACCACGGCAAGTACAGTCCTTGGCATGATCCCTAATGATAGGTATTAAAAGCGCCCTACCTTTCATCGTAATATCCTCGCGTCAGTGGTTTAGTGGTAAAATCCATCGTTGCCATCGATGGGCCCCGCGTTCGATTCGCGGCTGACGCAGAACCTTTTGCTCCTTGTAAAACATTTTGCCTTTTGAGTGCCTGCCGAGCTTGCCAAGCCTGCCCAACGAGCGTGTCCCAAATTTCCACATTTTCCAGGAGACAGCAAGCCCGGCGTTGTTCCTGTGACAAGTGACGTCACTAGCCACCCAAGAGCGAAACGGGCACTTTGCCTTGGCAGCTTGCTTCAGGCTGCCAATCTTGTTGGAATTTTAATGGAATGGTTGTTCCTCTTGTAAACATCGAGATATACGAACTGCCTTCAACCTTTGTTATTAAGTCATGTCCGTGCCGTGGAAATGGCGGAAAGGCTTCCCCAGAGGGCAGAAGCTCCAGCACAAACAGTCGACGACGACAACACTTATTTCGGCGCTGGCGATGCGTACCATGCCAACAACACCTCCCCACCGAGACCAGCCCTGGCGGCGGACGAGATTCCGGCGACACCAACGACTGAACAACCACCACCGCACACCGTCTCTCAAAACGCGCGCGCCCTTCCGCCAGATCGTCACCAATCCGCCATCCGTCTTCGCAGATTAAGGGGCCCAACTCTGTCCTCGGGACTGTTGCCTCTCAATAATGTCGAGCAAGAGCCTCTCGGCGGTCGCCGACGTTCCAGTTCGGAACCACAGCGGCCCGCGATCCCTACAGCAACTGCGTGGACTGCTTTGCCACCCGTTGTTGAAGCTCAGTCGCACCAAAATCGAGATCATGTCCCAACGCCGGTGCCGTCGCGGGAGGCAGCAGCTATTGTTGACGGAGCCCCAACCCACAGGCGCCGCCATTTTCCTGGTCGACGCCGCCTAACCGTTCAGGAACCACCCCACAGCCACGCCCCAGATAAGGACTGCTATGATTCAAGGATTGTCGATATTTTAGATGTCGTTGGTGGGTTCTTCGTCCCTACATCTTGGTATTTCGGGATGAAACTGTGGCTAATCAATATCAACGGCAGACCCCGAAGTAGCGACATTGTCATCCATTACCAACATCCAGAATTCGCTGTTCATACCCTCTCTTGGAAAGTGGGTGAACCGCAGGCCGACTTACGATCTGTCCCAGGTCCCCCGAATCCCCGGTGCTTCCCCCCCTTCAAAAGAGGACGTGGCCGCCGCGGAAAGTGCCGGCGAGAGACGTCCGCCCGAAGGCGCTCGGTCGCCTAGCTTATCCTCGGTCCTCAGTGACACCCAGTACGCCATCCTCCCCAACGATGCCTCGCTCGAGGGTTGGCCAGAAGAGGACATCAAAGCCTTGAATGATTATGTCCGGCACATGCTGCACTCCCGGCGATCCAAGATCAAACAGCGACTCAAGGGATTTGGCAAATACGCTAGGAGACCGCTGGGCTTTCTCGTCACCCTTTATGCCACACTCATCACCCTCTTCGGCCTTGCCTGGGTTTTGTTCTTGATTGGGTGGATTTATGTTGGTGATCGGCAACTTTATGCGATCGACGTCATCGACTATACCCTGGTCGCCCTGTTCGGCATTGTGGGCGACGGTCTCGCCCCGTTCCGTGCCGTTGATACGTACCATATGATGTTTGTGGCTCATTATCGTAAGCTCCCTGTACTTCCTGTGCTCCCCTGATCTTACGACGTTAACTGCCATCAGACCGCAAGACTTGGAAGCTGCGCAGCAAGCTTCTTCTTCCTGATCTACAAGATCACAACGACTTGCCGACGGGTAACAAGCAAGACCAGTCCAACCAAGACCCCGAGGCTCAGTCTCGGTCGAAAGAAGAGAAACAGGACCAGTTCGTCCCTGTTTTGTCGGAAAAGGCGCAAGCTCGGTTGATACACCACCAAACCAAACTCGCGAAATCTCACACTTTTTACAAGCCACACGAAACCGAGACGCATCATGCATTTCCTTTGCGGCTGCTAATCGCCGTTGTGCTTCTTCTCGATCTACACAGCTGCTTGCAAATCTCACTTGGCATATGTACATGGGCAGTCTCGGCACATCTGCTACCGGCCGCCGTCACTACCACTATTTTGTGCTGCTCCATCACGACGAATATTCTCGCCGGTGTACTCATTTCTATCGGCGATCGGCGGACCCGCAAGCAAGACGTCCTTGAACGATTGCTCAAACAAGACCTGACCGGCGAGGTGATGAAAAAGATGGAAAAGAAGAAGGAGAAGGAGGCGGAAAGGGAAGATGCAAAGAGAGGAAGCGAGGATAGCAAAACTTCGCTAGCAGCTGGTCCAAGTATCCCGGCCCAGGCCAAGAAGGAGTGTAACGGGGATGAAATACGCCCAGGTAACAAGGGTCCAACATCAATTCATGACTTCAATAGCGTTAGGGAGGGCGAGGAGCCGAATAATGCCCACTTCGAAATCCCGGGGGCCTTTCCACCGTTTGAACGAGGAACCCGGGTGGAATGATGATATAACAACAAGGTAAATGTGCCAAGGACGGGAAATGGCAAGGGTCGATGAGTCCATGTCACTTGTATGGAAAGATATAGCCTGTGTTTCCAAAGAAAGACGACATAATACCCCAAGAAGTACAGTTTTAATTAGGATAACTAACAGGAAATATACCATAACATCCTGCAGTGCCTCCTCTCGTATTAACTAGAATCGTGTTATCAAGAGCAGCGGCGTTTAACCACAGGGAACTTAAGTGTATTCTTCCATTATGATCTCGTCCCCAAATGCTCCCTCGCCATCGACTGGACCGAAACGAAATCAATAATTGCATATAGTATGGCCAAGCGCCAACGACCCGCAGGCCTCAATCGTCGGTTCTTAATCAAAACCCTGTCCCGCTACTCTGACAAGCCATCCCAACAACTTCTAGCCCATCTCATTCTCACTTTCCCCTCCTCTAAGACCCATCTAAGATAGATCTCGTCATCTCACGTTCTCACCCAACACCCAGTATATCGTAACACTGGAGATCCAAGGGGGAGCTTTCGGCAATACTTGATAGGTGAAGCCTTCTCTGGCATTCATGCTAATGAAAAAAATAGACGCTGAGGTCAAGAGCCGCAGTTATTAAATATAACCAACTACCACTAAGAAGCGTGCAATTACCAATTCCCATAGCCGGGAAAATTAGCTCGAGATCAGCCGCCCCGAACTTTGACGTCGAAGTAAACGAGCAGCCGGGACCGACCGGCGAGCCCGGATAAAGGTTGCGGAGGAAGGATATGAAAATGCAATGGTTTATATACCTCGGAACGCAGTCTCCCAAAGAGCACCATCTCATGCGGTCTTCGTTCACCATCCCCCTTTCTCATCCCACCTACGGAGATACACAAAGCACTTGACGATGGGCCCTCTTCACCTCGCCGCCACGGCACTTGCCCTTGGAAATATCGGCCTTGGGAATCCCGTCCCACAGAGCACGGCCATCTCGGCGGCCAAATATTGCGATGCTGCTACTACGATATGCTATTCTGAATGGCTGAGCCCCGAAAAGATTGCATACCGAATTGCCATTCCTGACACGGCCACGGCGGGCAACTTTGATGTCCTGCTCCAGATCGAGGCCCCTCGGACGATAGGCTGGGCAGCCATTGCGTGGGGCGGCGTGATGGTCAACAACCCCCTAACAGTGGGTTGGGCCAATGGAGACAAGACTGTTGTCTCGAGCCGAAGTGCAAGGTGAGTGAACCAAGGTTATGGATAGGGCGCAATCAATGAACCCTATTTACCCACACCAGTGACACCACTTCGAAGCGAAATAAACAAAGTGCGTTAAGATAGCTTACTTATGGTCTACCGGTTTGTAGTTCCCGGTCATATCCCACCCCCTTTACCGGGGCTTCCTACACTATTCTCCCAGGTAGTTCAACGGCCAACACCACTCACTGGACTCTCACCGTCCTCGCCAAGGGCGTCAGTTCATGGGGCAGTACGAATCTTAACCCGGCCGGCACAGTGTCACTAGCGTATGCGCAGTCAGCAACCCCCCCTGCGGAGCCGGCCAACAATGCCACCCGGTTCAGCATTCACAACTCCCGGGGCAAATGGACACATGATCTGAAAAGCGCTCAGATCGCCAATTTTGCTGAGTTGATTGAGAAAGCTTATGCTGCGATTGCTTGATCAATAGCAAGCACGAGCAAGAGGAATTGCCCAGCAAGATGAGATGAGCTTTTAACATGAAACATTGATGTGAAACAGCGATTGGTCCGCTTCAATGGAATCCTGACGGGGATCAAGTAGGGAAACTGGGCTAAGCTTTGTATATGTAGTCTTTCCACCTAACTGCTCGGGGTCACTTAGGGCGAATGTTAGTCTGTGCCAACTCTAGATAGGAACCGAGTTGTACTACAGCCATTCACGGGGGTACATATAAGCAGGCGAAGATGAACAAGCAAGCCAAAAATGGACCCCCCTGCGTCTGCATTACATTGCTTGCTAGATCCGGTATTCTCTGATATTAAGTCGTTGGAGAGCCGCCCAGCCTTCCCACGACCCGGGACGACCGGCTGTCCCTTGTGGGATTTCGGCCGACTTATTGCCGAAGGTCCGGCAATTAATTAATGATGTCTATCTCGATCATCTCTTTCCACATTTTGCCAAGCGGCCATTGGCCGCTATGACCCTCTTCCTTATCCAACAAAGGAATGATTAGCCAAAACAACCGGAACGTCGAAAAGCCGTGTTTGCTGCTTCCGTGCCCACCATTGACAGCAGAGGCGGAGATTGTAAAGGCAGTACTTAAGAATGGCAGAATCCGCCGAGATTCAATGATCAGAAGATACGAGTTCCTTTGATACTACAAGCACCTCTCCCAATTCCATCGCCATGTATCTTAGCTCTTTGTCGTTGTTCGGCCTCGCTGGGCTCATCACCCAGGCTTCGGCACACGGCCTTGTCAGAGAGCCGGCAACACGTGGGCCTGGAGAAGCCACCGAGGCAGCATGCGGCAAGGTTATGGCCGACTTCTACCGAGCCGACAACACCTCTTACCCCGAAGCTCTCCTCCGAGCCAACCCAGGCGGTTTGAAGGAGCCGTACGACCCCGAGAACTGCAACCTCTGGCTCTGCAGAGGCTACCAATTTGCAGACAACGCCGCCAACGTACAGAGCTACACCGCCGGTCAGGTCGTCGATTTCGATGTCTGGATCCGGATCCCGCATGAGGGACATGCCAACGTTTCCGTCGTCGATACGGCCAGCAACAGCGTTATCGGCACGCCGTTGGTTGCTTGGCCCGACCATTACGCTGGTTCCGCAACCCCACCGGCAGACCAGACAAAATTCAGTGTAACCATTCCTGAACTCGGGGACCAGTGTGCCGAGGCTGGCGCTTGTGTAAGTCCCCTTTCTCCTCTTGTTGCTGCTCTAGAAAAGTTGGCCTCGTACTAGGTAGTCTAACGCGCGTTGCCGATGCAGGTCATTCAGTGGTACTGGTTTGGGCAGGGGCAGACATATGAGTCGTGCGTCGACTTCAGCATTGCTGCGGCTTCGACTGAGCCGGAACATTCCCACAAGCACAGAGTCAGGGGTCAGACTTGGGCCTAGCTTTTGGGCGAGACGTAGAATACCACCATACTAAGGTAGTAACTGAGACGCTCGGTTTTTAATCTACGCACCATTTTCTTCATAGTGTAGTGTATATGTCGTTGTGCGTGCTGTACAAATCTTGACAACGCTTTCAGCGGCTGCGCAAGGAGCTCGGTGGAAACGATTGTCTATTGCCGGCCGTAATGTCATTCCCATGTTTACTAATACGCCATCTGTTTAAAGGGCGAGTCCTTGGCCTTATATGTTCTTTGTTTAATTATTCATCATGGAGAGGTGGCCAGGGTAGCTCCTCGCGAGCAAAATTGGAGCATAACATCTCCTTTAGCACAACTATTTTAGTCCCAGAAAATGATAGCAATTATGGTTGCCATTGTTATTATCAAGCCGGCTTGTCCAAATATAGCGCTTTTATTCGTTGGCCGTTGCCGCCGAGAAGAGCGTGTACTTGTGGCGGTCCCGTTCTCGGCGGCCAGTGGTTTCTCAGTTTGGCCCTTTGGTTGGCCCCATTCGTATCCCCCTGTTTCAGAATGCGACAATCAAGGGATTGTGCATACCACTCAGCACTCTGGCTTTAAGAACGGCGGTCGCGAAGATCATTTTCTCCGAAATAGATTTCGTCGCCATTCCAACCCTCAGCAGCGGGCCGCCGCTATTTTCCCCTTAACCTTCTTCAACCTTGTACACCTCCGAGACTCCGACTAAACATAATGTTCGGTCAGGATAACTGCACCGATATCCCGGCGACTGTGCCGAGCGATGCTGGCATCGCTGGAGCAGGTGTATGAAGACCCCATACCAGTCCCTCCGCTGTGTCCCTGTTAATTACATGCTGACCATTGAAATCTAGGTTCTCCTTGCCTCAACTATTACAGCAGGGTTGGCGCTCGGTATCTCAGCCAGCTTAGTGCTACAAGAACTGATGTGGCGACCGTCTTCCTCAAACATAAACCGGAATCAATCAGTGATCCGGCGGAAACTTCTCAGCGGGTACTCCGACCAGCAGATCATGGTCGGTATCGGGCTACAAAGCATAGGGCTAGCCAAGTCAAACTCATTGGTGCCTTACCACTTCTTCCTTATCTGGATGCTCGCGCTGCTCTCGATGGCGACGCATAATGCAGCCCTCCTAGCGCTAGTCAAAGACTTCAAGAGAGATTGGGTTCTGAGATGGATGCGACAATTCTTGATGTTTGTGAGCCTGGCCCTCTCATGCGTGTACGGGATCTATGTGTTACAAAGCAAGGTGAAGGGGCTGCCAAACACCTTACCGATCGGCTGTGTATGGGTACTTGACTCGAGTGTTTCCAACGTTGGGGGCCTCGATTACGCTGGGACCATTGTTACCATCGCTGGAAACTGTATCGTTTTTGCTTTGGCGACATGGTACTTGCAGAGCCGGAAACAGAGGTTCTACAAAGTTGTTCAAGTTACCGGTCTGATCCTAATGTCGGCCATTACCATTGGTATGTCGTTTGGATCCCGGATACCAACGGTATCCCCCCGATGGAAAAGTCGCTAACCACTTTCTCTTCTTAGGGGCGACTATTCGTGCCTATTTATTATCGCAAGCGTTCGGTCACCCTGACGTGAAGCTCAGCGACGAAGGGGAAAAGCAGTGGAGTTTTGGTCAGCTATTATCACTGCTCATGCTCATCCTACCTGTGATCTCGGTGGTTGAGATTATGCGTGGGGAGATAGCCGTCACGCCACCCGTCCAAGATGAAGACAAACAGGGTTTGTTCTATGGGAAGCTCTCGGATAACCCACATAGCACAAAAAAGAACAGCGGCAGGTAGCTACAGGGATTGTCACAGGGAGGCACTTACAGACGAGAAAAACTTCGATGCACAGGGCATCGTCCAGGGCCAGTAATATCAGCACGACGGGTATAAGATCAAAGTGCCCGTCGCTATCTCATTCCGAATCAGATACTATAGAAAGGCGGTAATAGCATTCCAGAATTCAGCAGGCGATTCGGACATGGGAAGATGCCCAGACTGGGGCACAATCTTGAGGTCGGCACCACTGCGACCCAGTGACCCCCTGAACCCCTCCATAGCCTTCACCAGAGCCCCTTTTCCGTCACCTTCGCCAACAATCAACAACCCGGGGACTTCGATACCCTTCATTTCATCGCGCATGTTATAATCCCAGAGCGCCTGGCAAGAATACCTGAACCCCTGGACACTGTTGGCAGCAACCATGTCTGTCATCCAGTTTGCAACATCCTTCTTCTGAATCATGGTGTGGGGGTGGAACCACCGCTCAACAGTTTGACAAGCCAGCTTCCGGATGCCACCGTCGGGCCCTTCAGCGACAGCAATCCGGTCCTTCCAAGCCGCTGTGTTGGCGTCGCTCGAGGCAACATTGAAATCACAAGCCACAAACTTGTCTAGAAGGGCAGGGTATTTGATGGCAAATTTGAGCGTGGTAGCACCGCCCATCGAAACGCCGACTAGGGCGTGGAGCTTGGATATGCGCAAAGCCGAGAGAAGGGTGGCAAGATCATCGCTGAGCATCTCGAGGTCGGCGGGCACGGGCGGAGAGGGCACATCGTTCCGACCACGAGTGTCGTACCGCAGGATTCGAAGGTCAGGGCGTGCTGCCTTGATAATGGCAACAAGCGGGTCCCACATATGCATCGAAGTGAGCAAGGAGTTGGAGAAGGCTAGCGTTGGCGCCCCTGGAGACGGGTTGCCCTCCAGCCGGTAAGGGATGATCAAGCCGTCAGACGTCGTGACGAAAGCCTCGACTGCAGCATCTCCCTCCCCAGGCGTCGTAGATATCCGCTGGTCGATGGTCGAGAAAGCGGCCAGTTGTGGCAGTCTGGACAAGGCATAAAGCTCTCTTGGCGCAGGGCCAAAGACGTAAAACAACTCATACGTGCGGCGCCCTTTGTGAGCGATGTGCTTGGCGAAAACGTCGTCGCGCCAGGGCGTGTTCATGGATGCCTTGTGCTCAGCGCCCCCCAACCCATTCTGCTTCGCGTATTCGTGCAAAGTGACGATTTTGACTTCGCTAGCTTGACCCTCAATGATGGAAGGTGTGCGGAAGACACGGCTGCGTAGCCACCCTGGGATCTTGGAGAGCATTGGGATGTGCTCTTCCTTGTACCAATCTATTACAGCCTGCTCCGCGTCCTCGACGCCCAAGCGAAGCGAGATCTCGACCGATACGAGAACAAGCCCCTCTGCCTCGGCGTCTGTTAGCTTCTCGATGGGTAAAAATAAGGGGCTCTGCTGCGTTGCCACGAGATCAAAGAATTTGCGGTTGACGTCAACCTTGGCGATAGTGTTTGCTTCACGCGGGGAACGGTTCGCCCGCAAATCGGTGTAGGTGGGCGTCTCGAGGTGCGCCATGGACGTCACATCGTACACGGCTAGGAATTGCGGCTCCTGGTCGTCGGTGGCGCGATATCGAAGTCCATTCGTGAAGATATGCGGCAGACGCAGGCGTGTCGGGCCATGCTCGTTATTGTACCATTCGTGGAACTGGTCCGCCGACAACCCCTGATGGGGTTGCATGGTAACAAAGAGCATTCCCGGTCCGTCGGCTGCCATGGCTGCAAGCAAAAGGGGGTTGGAAAGTGAAGGAATAGGGGCTACCTCGGAGCTTGATACTTCCGTCTCAACTTGGGTTTTTGCTTGCTCGAGGCCGACTTGACGAACTGTGGCCTGTTTAAGGGTAAAGGAATAGAAATGCAAGCTTTCAAAACGACCGGTAGGTGTTCGGGCCGGGGCAAAACCACTGACGAGTGACGATTAAGACGAGGAGTGGAGACCGGCTTTTATCCCGGCTGCGGTACTTGTCAGGTAAAGCGTTTTCCCGCTCGGAGGTTGCTCGCATACGGTGGGGCAAGCGACATCCAGGGGGCTAGAGCCACACCATGAGCAACAATATGCCATGCCATGACAAGTGCCACACAACAAGCCGAGAATAATAAATGGTTACAACAAAACTGCTCTCTTTTGAAACTACCATCAAGTGCTTCAAACTCGGCAGAAACTGGAACTATTCCGTAGCCTCGTAAACATAGCATCCGTATGCTTGCCGCCCAGACACCCGCCGTCTTTTATCTGGAAGTTGATATCCAAGACCGCCCAGCCATGACCGACCCCACACCCGAAATAGAAGGACTCTACCTAGTCTTGTTGAATATCTACCCCATAAAGCCCTAATAATCCATCATTTAAGCCCGCCAACTCGCCGGTGCGCCCACCCTCTTGTCCCTTCCCAGCCTGCTCATGGCTCACCCCAAATCTCATCAGCGATCTGGCGAATGAGAGCCAGCTTGTTCTTCTCGTCCTCCTCGGTCAGCGGGTAGCCACTTTCGTGGGTACTGAAACCGCATTGCGGGCTGACGCAGATGCGTTTCAAGGCCTCCTCGCGTGTCTGGCCGTTCCCCTCGGCTACGAAATCTGCCGCCTGGTAAATTCTTCTCTTCACTTCCTCCTTGTCTTCGAGTTCGCGCAGCTTGGTGGAAATGGCACCGATTACGACGTTTCTATCCTTGGGAAGAAACTTGAGCGGCTCGAACCCACCGGCCCGCTCAGTGTCGTACTCGAGGTAGAAAGTGTTGACCTTGAGCTTCGTGAAGAGCTTCTGAGCGATGACATCATACCCCCCTTCCGAGAAGAATCTCCCTCCAATGAAGTTCCCGCGACAGAGGTGTACACCCGTATGAAAGTCGGCGGGCAACTTGCTGATGCAGTCATTGTAGAGGTTTATGTAAGCCTCGAGAAGATCATCGACGGATCCAATATTGTCTGGATCCTCAGCCCATCCCTGGCGGAACTTGTCCGAGCAAAAGTCTAGAGGGCTGGTAAGCCTCGTGTTCACAAAGGATAACGGCGGACAGCAAAAAGGCCACACTTACAAGCAAGGCCAGGGTCATCAAACTGCACGTTCCTGAGCCCGGCCTTATAGAGCTGGTCTAGCTCAGCCTGATAGACGCTGGCAACATCCTTGAAGTATTCGGCGTCGTTTGCGTACGCCTCCTTTGAGTAGGCCTTCCCTTGCTTATAACGCATGTGGAACCAAGCAGGTGTGATCATGGTGAGCTTGATACTGCCCCACTCGCTTTTGGGTACGAATTTCTGCACAAGACGAAGCTCGTGGAGGTTGGACTGTGATTTCTCCGGATTGTGCCGCAACTTGGAACCGGCGATGACCGAGTCACCTGGCATAACCTTGCGAGCGACTTCGACGAGGCTAACCACGTCGGGATGGTATAATCGGAATAACGCAGCGTCGGCATCCTCGAGACGGACCGTCCCCTCGAACTCGTCCCACATCAGGCCCCAGAAGCGGGTGCGGTTGTATTCGCCGCTCGTCACTGCCTTGAGCCCCAGGTCCTGCTGTAGCTTCACGACGTGACCGACCGCCTTTTCCTCGACAGCGGGCAGGCCGGCGGCCTCCGGGCTCAGGCCTTTTTCCCGGATGGCCTCGCGAACGTCTAGCAAAGCCTGCGGCCGCAGGAGCGACCCCATATGTTCAGCGCGAAAGGGGGGCATGATTGGCGATGGCGATGAGAAGGATAAAGGTAGGTAAGGATAAGTGCCTCGAGGGTATTATGGTTCAAGAAGGGGGAGAGGGGAGGAGGAATGGAGCTTTTTGGGATTGAGAACTAAGAACTTGGGACTTTGACGGAAGCGGGGCTCATCCATGGCCAAGTTGACCCTTGACTCCCAGTCGGCAATTCCAATTCATCCAAAGCGTCCCGTCCCCGCCCCGGAGGATCCCCATCATTCCCATAAAACGGAGTGTAGGCGGGGCTTGAAGGGGGGCAAAAGAGGGCTGCAAGGGCTGGTCTCTGGACGCCTGGTTCGCGTGGGCGGGAGGTGGGATTGCGGGGATGGATGAGTTCCGAATGGTGGATCAACCAGCGTCAATGGCTGGAGGGATATTCTCTCATCTGGCACGGAGCCAAGATCTGTCTCCCGGGAAAGTCGCCTCGGTGCTGAGGGTTAGGGCTTCTTACCCCTCGCATGCCATCCTAGCCGCCCCCACAATGCTCCCCCCTCCTCTGACTCCAAGGCTCGTTTAATCTTGAGGGGGCCGATTATATTTCTTAGAACTCGGGGTCTTAGTTACCGTATTTTAAGCCGGCGTCGCTCTAGTAGGCCATTGGTTTGCAATAAAAACGGGGGGTTTGACCAGCTATGGTAATGATGCTTCTTAAAGCCACTAACCAGTAGGTAATGGGTGGCCACCGTGCTGGCTGTTGGTTCCACCACATGCTGTGATTTCTTGAGCTCCAACCCAACCTAAATGGGAATTGGTGGGAGACAGAAGACTGGGCGGACAAGTCCGAAAATCTGCGGATAACGTCGTCCACTTAGAAGAAATGATGACCTCGAACAATGCCTCCTACTTTTTCGTACGAATTCATTCTTAAGCAACGTACCTCCTCTAGTCGTCGCGATAGATAATAGGGGAAATGGAGCATTGTAATTCCCATGGCTTTTCGTCCTGCCTGCCTCAGAGAATGAAGGGAAACCAATCGTTGTGGGCCTCACTGCAGGGCTGCCAACAAGAACAGCTGGTCGAAGGAGTCAGCTGCATTGATGGCGGCATCATTCCAAGTTCCTTTCGTATTCACGGGTAAGCGCATTTAGAGGCGTCAGTTCCCCGTATTCTAGGGTCGACCTCTGATTTTTCTCAATACCTATCTGCCTCATCCCCGTCAGTGCCTTAACTCGAGTTCCAAGGCCCGGACACGAGCAATCTCGACAATCAGCAATAGAACGCACCTGAGGTCGCATTTTACCTAGTTAAAGTTATCAGAAACTAGGTACTCGCCGTTACCATATCTTCTCGTTACCTGGCCACCTACCTAGTTGCTTCGCTGCAGCGCGCAGGTCCCCCTGGGCTTCACCGAGTCGGCCTACATCCGCTACGCCAGGTAAACGCTTTCGTCTCTTCGAAGTCAACCAATACGTCCCGTGCTGCCCGGCGCACAACCCCGCGACGCAACTTATGCCGGGATCGTCCTTGAGACAAGCGACCAACCGCCATGGAGGTGTTCCTGCGAAATTTACCCCCTCATCTGACTCACGGTGCACTCCATGAACAACTCAAGCAATCCCTGGGCCCGCTCAATATCACGGACTACATGGTCGAAAAGCAGAGGGGCAAGAAAACGGGGAACATCACATTTCTCCGCGAAGCCCATGGCACGGCATTCCTCCAGCGTCATGGGGAGGAACCAATTCACCAACCCCGCGGGCCCCGAAGCCGACATCCGCCTACTCGAGCACGTCTTTCGCTTATGGGTCGAGATGTCTTCTGCAAGCTCAGTAACAAAAAGCCCCACGAGCTCACTCTAAGAACCATCGAGCATGAGGCTAGCCAGCGAAACCACGAAGCCCCTGCAGAGCCGCCAACCAAGACACTCGAAGCCACTGAGTTGAACTGTGGATACCATACCCTGAACGATGGGAAGTTGACTTTCACACCCGAATGGACGACCCTTGAACGTTGTCTCGTCAAGTTTGCCAAACGGGCCCTCACCATCACCTTGACCATGCGGGACGTCCAGCTTCGCATCCCGTTCCAGAGCATCGTCGAGCTCGTCTGGTGGCACAATGGCAGCCTTGCCCTGACGCTCTCCTGGGCACCAACTATCTTGGCTACGCGGCTCCCAGATGGCGAGCTCACCAACACCCTCTCATCGCTCACCCTTAGCCCGGGGAGCTCTCAGAAGCGCGCCGACCAACGCTACAGGCTCCCAGCCATCGATCCGGACCATGGCCGCATATCCCCATACTGCCTGGTTTATCATTTCCAAGTGCTCAACGCCATAACGAGACACACCAACAGCGACTTTCAAAACGAGATGCTCAGGCTCACGCGCCAAGAGCTGTTCCACGTAACACGCTCCGAGTTTTCCTTCCACCGCCCAATTGCCGTACGGTTCAGCGACGCGATGACTAGCCTACGAAGCCAGCTCGCCGAGCAGAACACCACAGGCACGCTGCCTTTTGGTTTACTGTTTCTTCTTCAAGCATTGATGGCAAACAGCTATCTCCACCCCACTACTATATCCGCTCTGGCCCAAAAGTTAGCACAGCGCTTCGAAAAAGCCAGAAAAGTCGGGGACACCCAGCCGCCAGTGTCAGTCGACGCGTTCAAGAAGCTGTTTAATTGGATCGACTACCCCATGCCTGATGGCGACCCAACCATGTTTGAAGTTGACGGCATCTTGGAGTATTTGGAAAAGGAGGAGAGACTCATTCGTGAAAGCTCTGCGCACAGATCGAGAATGAGAGAGACGCAGAACAGAGCTCTCATCTTCAGAGCCGTTGTGACCCCCTCGCGTATCACACTCCATGGCCCGGAACCTGAGCCCATGAATCGTGTCCTCCGGAAATATCCAGACCACTCGTACTTCATCAGAACGCAGTTTTGCGACGAGAACGGCCAAGACCTCTTTTTCAACGCCAGAGTATCCCTCGATTCCATTTACGATAGGTTCAAGTCCGTCTTATCCAACGGCATCCAAGTGGCTGGCAGGGTCTATAAGCTCCTGGGCTTTTCTCACTCATCACTTCGTGCCCACTCGGCATGGCTTTCTGCACCTTTCTTCCATCAAGGTCAAGTGCAGATACCCACCCTTATTGTCACGGGCCTCGGAAACTTCGACAAGATCAAATCTCCCGCCCGCCGTGCTGCCCGCATCGGTCAAGCCTTTTCGGAGACCCCCTGGGCTATTGACCTCGTCGCCCACTCGGTCGAGGTTTGGGAAATCGACGACATCGTGCGCAACGAGGAAGTTTTCAGCGACGGCGTTGGCAAGCTCTCGCAAGACGTTGCTCGATTGGTGTACGATGTCATCCCCCGATCAAAAGGTTTCCCAACTTGCTTCCAAATCAGACAGGCTGGAGCAAAGGGAATGCTAGCCATTGATCCGGGACTTGGGGGGAAGGTGATATGCATCCGTCCTTCCATGTCAAAGTTTGATAGCACCGACAAGCAGCTTGAGATTTGTGATATGGCGTCCAACCCGATGCCCATGGTTTTGAACCGCCAGCTCATCAAAATCCTCGAAGACATGGGGGCGCCTAACCAGTGGTTTCTTAACCTACAAAGCCGCGAATTACAAAGGCTCCGTACGATTTCTTCCACGGTATACAACACCGCTAGCTTTCTCAGGGCGCAAAGAATTGGAGAAAGCATCCGGCTACACAAATTCCTCCGCCAAATAGAGACCATGGGTCTCGACTACAGGAGAGACGATTTTCTCCGCGGTGCAGTCGAAGCCGTTCTGCTCAGTGAGCTGCGCCTTCTTAAGCACAAAGCTCGCATCCCCGTCCGAAACGGCATGACCCTTTTTGGCATCATGGATGAAACGGGGTTTCTAAAAGAAGGTGAAGTCTACGTGACGTTCGACCCCGAAGAGGACCGCCATTCTCAGCCTCCCGGGCCGGGACGCGTGCTTGTAACGCGATCACCGGCGTTGCACCCCGGGGACGTCCAAGCAGCCATCAACACAATCCCACCAGACGAACATCCTTTAGTCCAGCAGCGCAATTGCATCGTCTTCAGCAAGTGGGGGCGAGAGGAGCCCTTCTAACCAGCTCAGCGGAGGCGACTTGGACGGCGATGTCTTCCATATCATCTGGGATCCCGCCGTGGTTAACGCCGTGAGAACGTTCAAGCCTGCTGCTTACCCGCGGGTTCAACCCCTGGAGCTGGACAGACCAGTAACACCAGAGGATATAGCTGCCTTCTTTGTCGATTTCATGAGAACCGACCACCTTGGGGTCATCGCCACCCGACACATGATACTTGCGGACCAAAGGGAGAAAGGAACGCTGGACGGGGATTGCAAGAAACTTGCCGAGTTGCATTCTGCCGCGGTCGACTTCTCCAAAAGTGGGCGTGCCGTCGAAATGTCCCAGCTGCCCCGGGCCCCAATATCGAGACCGGACTTCCTTGCTCCGGGGACCACAGATCACAATCCATGACAAGTCAGCCATTGATATGGAGGAGCATTTTGCTCCACGGGGCGATGACGATGACGACGACGACTCCGGTCCGCGCCATCAGTATTATAGGTCGGATAAAATATTGGGGCAACTCTACCGAGCTGTCGAGGAACAAAAGATCTGGGCCGAGGACATCAAGAGGATAGTTCAACCCGGTAATCTGCCGTTCTGGAGTGAGTTGCTCGCCTGCCTCAAATCACGAGTGGCTAGAATCGGCCCTGTAGAATGGAGTCATAGGTCAGATGAAGCACACAGGATACTTCGCGCGTAAGTCTCGCCCTATGAACCACGGCAGACCTCTGCTAACATCTGCATAGTTACGAAGACGCCGTTTACGGACTCACGATAGACTGCGCGGATCAGCCGTACCAGCCTTTGAGGGAGCTAGAAGTGTTCGTTGGATTCATTCTCAATAAAAGTGGCGATCAGACACACCGCCAACGAGATCGTTCCGTCAAGCTAAAGGACGGCTTCGACAAGATCGCAGCGTGGATAACGCGAGAGATGCGCAAACCGACTTCGATCAGCGGCTACACCAGCGAGTTGGACGCACTCGAACTGTGCCTGGCCTGCCTTACTATTGGCTGCGAGAAGACATACAGACAGCTGCGGCCCGGGCACCGCAGGTCCGCTCAAGATATCGAGAGTTTCAAGATTGTAGCAGCGTCGGCATTGACGCGCGAGCTTGCCACTCTTGAGAAAGGCAAGGGTGGTCAGGCGTACACATATGGTGGCGGCGGTTCTGTTGGGGTTGCTGGCGGTAGGGTCGGAAGACACTGACATGTCAAGTGATGTCGAGCATTTCTGGGGGGTATTAGATTAACTATTGAGCGGGAGGTTACATTTTTCCTTGCCTGATGAATGGAACGCCTTCTACTCTGAGTGTTCTAGGTTCAATCAACTACAACTTTGTTAACTCTATTCCTCAACACTTCCGATTTTATAGTTCGAGTCTTCTGCTAGGAATGGTTACTTATGCTTAGTAACAGCTGTTCTATGCTTTTATAGAGATATAAAATAGCCAACCAGGAGGGGCAACAGGGGCCGACCGCGAACCTTGGGACCTCAAGGGCCTACGGCGGTGGAGAGAGCCGCGGGCACGGTCATGTGCTGGACGGGGGGAACCGTTGATACGAACAGGGTAGTAGAAGAGGCTTGGAAAGCGAGGTGGTTAAAGGAACGGGACGGCAGGGCAATCACCAGGCCAGCGGACGACTTTGACCATCAGCAGGAGACGCTATTCCGGAACGAAACCCTAAGGAGGCACGACGGTCTCAGCAAGGCAAAGAGCTCACTGCTGATTCAAATCCGGACGGGAGCGATAGGCTTACGGGACTTCTTGTTTACACGGGGAGTCCCGGAGGTTCTGACTCCTGCCTGCGAGTGTGGCGAGGGACGAGAGACTGCCGAACACCTGGTAGTGTGGTGTTTGGCCCCACCGTTGACTAGAAGATGGGAGAGAACTGGAATTCGGACACGACGGGACTTTTACTCTGTTCTACACGGCATCAATCTCACGACTGCACGGCTCGCGAGGAGAGTTCTCGACTGGCTGATGGACTCGGGGAAGCTGCCGATGTACAACTTAGCCAGGAGGCTCGAGCTGGAAGCGGCGGCCTGAAGCGCCCCCGTTCGGAGGCCAGGAGGCCTCCTCTCTTTGTATATGTGGGCTCACTAAAACGCATCGCTCCTTGATTGTTGGTATGGGTTTTTCACCCGGCCCGGGAGGGCACGGTTTTCCTGTACACTAAATAGCTGAAGGTCCGGCACGCCCTAGGGCATAGCGGAGTATGAATAATAATAAAATAGCCAACCAGGTGAATAGACAATGGGCTTCACTAAGGTCTACCCTTGATAGAAATACAAAGGGAACGGCTAACAATTCCGTATACTAACCTTCTAGGTAATGAGAAGACCTTTCTGCCGAAGAGGCCATTTAGAGAGTTCTTAGTGGCCTTCCTCCTATATGTTTGTAAATTAAGGAGCTGGCCTAGCTAATGCCTCGATCCAAGGGAGATATAATAACTATTAGTAAACGCTGGGTAACTAAACCAGTTTATTGGCCTATATCCGTTCCTCGCAGCCTAGAAGTCTATATCGACGGAAGTATTAGAGTAAAAGGAAATGGTCCGGTACCATCTTGGTTTGTAGTAAAGAGGGCAGTATAAGAAGGGCAAGTTTAGTGGCACGGGGCCCGATCCCTAGTGGCACGGGGTCCGGAAATTCTGCCGAGATTCTGCCACCCTCCCCGGGTGGCAGAATCTCCGCCCACTCATTCCATACTCCGTCTCTAACGCTGTGCACAACCGCCCAACTTCTTATTTGACCTCGTCCACCGACTGCAACATCGTGTCCAAAAAGATTTATTGCATCTCCTTATTGGCTATATTATAGGGCCCATATTATATCACGATCCAACGAGCCGGCAATCCACTCTGTTGCCTGCCGCCTACCAAGATGCCTCTCGAGGCCCCTACCGTCCCTGCGGATGGATTTGAGTCCTTCGATGTGCTCTACGCCCATGTCAACGCGTCAGCCAAAGAACAAGGATACGCAATCGTCAAGGTGCGATGCAGCGACTACAAGAACGGCGCGCCGAGGCGGTACGATCTGAGTTGCGTTCATGGGGCCAATAAAAAGGAGACCCGAGGTGTCGGCCTGCGGGACACATCTACCATCAAGACGAGTTGTCCGTGGAGGGCGAAGGTAGTTCAGCGTGTACTTGCAGGCGATCGATGGATCTTCGAGGTCATGGTTAACCAGCATAATCACGAAGCTCAAGACCCCGTAGCCTACCCTAGCCACCGCAAAAGGACCTGGACCGAGGCCCAGAAGGATAAGATCCGCCAGATCTTCAAGACCACGGCTACTGGCTCCCGTGGTGTTGCCGCATTGATGCGAGAGCGTTACCCAGATCAGGTGACCCCCCGTTTTCTACCCCTTTTCTCACACCTTTATCTGTCTAACCTCCCACTTTACTTATCTAGGAGTGGCACCGTCGCGACATCGAGAACGAGATGAGCCAGGCTAAGGCCGAGGCTCTTGGTGGCTATACCCCTACCCAGGCTCTGATCAAGCACTTCACCGACACTGGTATTAAGCACTTTGTCCGCCAGCTAAGCGGACATGTCACGGCCTTGATCTGGACATACCCATGGTGCGAGAAGGCCTGGAAGCGATTCCCTGATGTCCTCAGCCTCGACAATACGTACAAGACCAACCGCTTCGATATGCCTTTCCTCAACGTCACGGGCGTTACCAATCTTCATACCACCTTCAATGTCGCCTTCGCCATCGTCAACAAGGAGGATGAAGAAGCCTACACTTGGTTGATCGAGCATCTCAAAAAGCTCCGCGTCGCTGTAGGCGCCCAGCTACCTACTGTAGCAATTACCGACTTCGAGAAAGCCCTCAAGAATGCGCTGGCCACCGTCTAGAAGACTGTCAACCAGCAGATCTGTTTGTGGCACGTGTTCAAGAACGTACAGAGCGAGGTCAAGAGGAAATGGAACTGGCCCGACGGCCAACAGCCCAGCCAGCAGGCCCTGCGAGAACAGGAAGAAGAGGGTAATCACGTGGACCCTACTTTCAGGGATCTAATCGCAGAGGCCCCTGTCATCGGCCCTCCCCTTTCGATTCAAGATACTGAAGATACCCCTGCCGGCTTTCTGTCTGTCTGGAAGGCCTGCGTATATGCCTCGACGATTGACGACTTCCAGATGGCGTGGCAGCACCTGATCGACCAGTTCGCCGAGCATCAAGAACCCGCTGTTTCCTACATCTTGTCGACCTACTTCCCATGGAGGAAGCACTTCCTCGAGTGCTTCACCCGTCAAAATCGGAACTTCGGCGTTCGGGTCACCTCTCGTACAGAGGGCAGTCACAAGGAGCTGAAGTCGTACCTGCTGAATTCAAGGGCAGAACTGCGGTTTCTCGCCAGCCGCGTCGAGCAACTCGTGAAGGACCAAGAGGCTTCATATAACGCCAAGAAGGGCGAGGAGGCCACGCGCCAGCTCGGGCAGTACAGCAGCTGTCGATGGATGGGAGACCTACGCTACCGCCTTAGCCGCAAGGCACTTGGCCTCGTGGCGCAGCAACACAGGATCTGCCACAGCAGGGTCAAGAGTGACCTCGGACAGACTGCCTCCCAGAGGCACAGGGAACCACCCCCTGAGTGCACCGGGGCTTTCCACCAGCAGTTTGGCCTCCCTTGTTCCCACGATATCGAGCGTAAACTACGTAGCAACCAGGAGCTCAGTTACCTCGATACCCATTCCCACTGGCACCTTGAGGTGAGCCTCGCCGCTAACGACCCCTTGGCCGCGATCGAAGAGCCGCTAGTAGGAATCACAAGGCGTGGTAGGCCTACAGTCAGTCAGGAGGAGATCCCCGTCGCTTTGATACCCCGTGGAGATAACTACCGCCGAGCTTCGGCCGCCACGCGGGCCCGAGACCCCTCGCGGTGGGAGCTCGTTGAACGACAGGAGCAGCAGCAAGCCCGGGGCCGAGCCCGAGGCCGGCGGCCGCGGGGCCCGAGAGGACGGGGTAGAGGCCCCGCACGGGGGCAGGGCCAGCAAAATGCAGTAGATGGGGCTCAGGGAGGTGCATCAACTGGGCCTGATGTGGCTATATCGCCAGGAACGCCCGTATCAGACACGCCCCAGTCACAGTAGCTAGGAATTCATGCCTGTATATCCTGAGTTAAGAGCGTAAGATCAATATTTTCATATGCACCCAAATCGTTTAAAAAAGGACGTTTTCGCCGTTTGGGGGGAGGAAATAGGTCCCCTCCCCCCTTTACCGCACTACAGAGGAAAGGCGGTCAGCCGTGCATTGATGTTTAGGAAGGCGGTGAACTGGACCCCGTGCCACTAGGGATCGGGCCCCGTGCCACTAAACTTGCCCTATAAGAATAGTAGAAGTGGTATATTAGAATGATAGTCAGATTAAGGCTATACTAAACTTTACCTCCCCTCTAAGCCTTTCTGCATCCCTCCTTAGAAGCAGGCTGTTTGACAACGGCTATTAGCACTGCCACCCCTTGCAGGCGATCCAAGGACCTTGAATGCTTTTACATAGGTAGCTAACCAGCAACTATCAAGCCATCTACGACAGAGCACTGTAGCGTACATCCTCCAGGTTTGAGGCAACGACGTCTCAATCGGAAAGTCCTCCCTTCCTAGCTTTCAGTTATCCAAGTGTTATGTTTGGTCAACATTTTTCAACAGCACCGGTTGTTACCCATGGCAAGCCATTATAGGGGTACCTTGTATTATGTATGTACTTCTCAAATCCTTGGTCACCCCTGGCCTTAGACATTCACAATTATAAAATGGCCAACGGGGCAATACTCTGGAGTATGTAAGCTTTAAACCTTGTATTGGAGTTGGTACTTGCGCTGACGCTCGGGACACTCTATCTTGTGCTCGCGGCTGTTGGGTCAAGGGTGCCACTTGTTGATACTCACTTTGCCTGCAATAAAGTTGATTGCATTGAATGAATGATGTCCCCCCTGACCCAACCGAGATTCAGAAGCCTGACGACGGTGTAAGTTCCGGCCAGCTTTTGCAACCATTCAGCTTGATGAGCGTCCGCTATTTGGAGCACCCTATCACGGTTGCAGACGCAGACTCCCAATCAATACGTCGGCCTGTCGAACAACCGACTTCCCACCGCGGAGTAATTGGCAACATATGCCTCCCCCCACGGTTGCATCCAAGTATCTGTCAAAACCACGTCAACGCCCATTGTCTCTCGAAACAAGAAGTAAAATTACCACGTACCATAAGTAGACGCTGGCTTCGTACTACAGAGCCAGATAACGGTCTCATTGAGGCCATCTCGGAGGTCGTCCCTGGGAAACTCCTTCACCACGGCAGCGTATTCGTCCTTTGTGATACCCAGTTGCGGGCCATCGAAATCCGTGATAATACCTTTATGCACTACCTGGACATCCAATTCCTTGAAGAGGGCGATGCTCTGCTGGGTATGTAATGCGATAGCGTCCCAGACCAACTGCACCCGGCGCTCTTCCCATCGCTTGCCGTCCCGGTGGTCTCTGATGAAGTTCCGAGCAGCGATCGCACCATCAACCTCGAACCGCCGATCGGCGCTGACCATAGGTGAGCCATCCGTCTGGTCCCAACCCAAATCGTGGAGAAGAGCGGCAACCGCATGAACCTCGAGGTCGATGGTGGCACGTAGCGTTTCGTTATGCTGGATGACGAGCGCGCCGAACAGCCACGAGCGCATGATATGTTTGTACGTAAAGTCTTGGCCGTTCTGTCTGGCAAATGCTTCGGCTGCCCGAACAATCGGGGTATCGACGACAGAGACGCCTCCCAAGGTACGTCTTGGATATGGCTTCAGTCCTCGAGCACCGAGAGGGTTGCTGGGGATGAGACTGGCTTGCGAGATGGAGGACAACAGGCAGGCAGTGAGGATGAGCCTCACGCCAGAAATGAAATTGATACCGAGCATGTTGGCAAATTGTTTTGAATGAGGTATGTTCGAGACTGGAAAGCTTCGATGGATTGTGATCACTACAACACACTCTATGGTGAGCATGAAGGGTACAGTCTTAAATATACATTTGGCCTAGCCTGATCACACATACTCGACAACCAGCGGTTTACCCGTACGTTGTCGGATCTTAATTAGCTTGTATCCGAGTGGATTCGGATGTTGGGCTGCGTATACATGCGGCATGGCTCTTAATCCCCCCGTTTCCCGGCTTAGAGCCGTGAACATTAGTAATTCTGGTCGGGAAAATGTTTAATGAACTCGCTAGCCGGTGGCTTCGTTGTTTTTTAATTAACTGATCTGATGTACAAATCGTCCCAGTTACCAACGACAGGCTGTCGATGGGATTATAAATCGACCCACCCCGAATCCTCCTCGAAGGGTTGAATCTCCCCCTTGTGGCAACTTAAAAGTGACCCAATATACAAGACCCCATCTCGGGCGGGTAGACGAGTCCAGGCAGACCGGCCACTAGCGAAACTAAGAACTCGGGGGTCGAGATGAAGGATATGGCTGGCACATCTCAGTCCAGTCGGACTGAGTTGATACGAGACTTCTGTTACCTCATTTTGACTTATTCTCTCTTTGTTCCTTTTTTTTTTCCTTTTCAAGGAACCTCGTCACTAGCGTAGTGATGAAATCAAGGTGTCAGAAACAATGGCTCATAATGGATGTTTGTCACCGCTTTCCATTGTGATTGCCTATTACGTTGACTATCGAGGTACCATATCCAAGCACGACATCAACGCTCCTGCTCTGCAGAACAGTTCGGACCCAGCCTATAGAAACCCACGAGTGGTAACCTATGACGCTCACACCCTACCACAACATGAACGGCACTCTCATTCGCCCAGCCGCGTTCGTTGCAATGGAGCTCGAACTCGTAGGGGTGCCGGTGGTCACGGTGCCGTTGGGGGCAAAAGTAGTGGTGATTGGCTCCGACACCGTCGTCGGACTGTCAGTCGGGCTCGGGCCGTCAGTGACGCAGCCATCCATGGTGACAATGGCGTAGCTAGTCGAGCACCAAATCCCATCACACCCTGCTTCGCAGGGGAAGTCGAGGTGGACTGTCGGAACGGGGGTTGGGCATCCACAAGACTGGGTAATAGTAGCTATTTCTAAACAGGCCGGAACCAGACAGGTCGTGCAGAGCTCCCGGGTCGCAGTCACGGAGGCACAGGCAGGTGCTGTCGGGAGGGTGGGAACCTGCGTGGTAGTGTTCGACTCATCGTCGGGGAAGCTTGACTGGGCGAGGATAAGGGGCGCCCTACCCCGGTGTTAGCACACAAGAAGACAAGAGCATCGTTGAGGTAGCGATGGACAATACTTACAGAAAGGCCATGGCCGTAGCGAAAGACTTCATCGTGTACTCTTCTGGTAAATACTCCAAACCTCTAAAAACCTCGGATTGTGTGAAGAAGGCTGTGTGTCTCGAGCGGATTCTCAACCGCCATTTCGTTGATTTATGCATATTCCTAACCTTGGCGTGGCTTACCCTCTGGCGGCCGAAGTTTAGTCCGCGCCAGTTTCCATGGGACTTTCCTGGCCTCGGCAACAGAAATGCCCATGAAGCTCATTCGCTTGGCCAAGCTTCAACCTCGTATTCAACGTGCTCATCTTGACAACGGCGTATCAGAGCAAGCCACCGTGACTGGTGAACATGGACGATGTGACAACGTGGCTCAAAAGTTGTCTAGTCTGAAACAAAACGGCCTCAAAGCGTGAAAGCTGTGTGAGAAGGCTTCACTGTCGACGGAAAACAATGGAATTACACGAGTTTCAGACCCAAGCGTCGGTGCAGATTTATGCTTTCTCAGGCGGAATGATTAGGTTGATGCAAGGCCACCTCCGACACGTCCGGTGGAAAGGTCTGCTCTAACGACTGAGGGCAGGTCCACATGATCAAAGCGGTGGCCAGATAATGGAATGGGCGCTTCCAAACCGGGATGTCTAGCCGGTTTCTTGTCGTTGTGTCGAATCGAAAGAGAAATACGACATTGCCAGCAACATTAATGAGTCGGAAAAGCCTGTGACATATCGTCAGCGTTGTCTAGATAATTCGCCGGCAATTATCGACAGAAGGTGGGCCTACATGTTCAGGGCAAACATGGCGAGGCTAGCTTGCGTGCTCTTCGGAATGGGGTCACCGCTCGCATTAGCTATCTCAGAGGCAACGTAGTATATGGGGGGGATCCAGAGTCCCATAATGATCAGCTCTAGGGCCAAGATCCAATGATACGTTTTCCACGTGTTGCGAGAGCAAGTGATAAAACCTAAGGAAATCCACAGCATGATAAAGCTAGTCTATTAACAGGCAGAACGTTAGCACGGCCGGTCCTCCACAAGAACAATGGCGATACATTGCAGAAACCAAACCCAACTCACCACGGTGGGCGCAAACACCAATATCGCGTACCGGTAATACCTCCACGCAAGAGCAGCAGCAACGATTCCCAATCCAAGCTGAATCCAGCCGGCGGAAAAGAAGGCGAAGAGGACATCGTTGTACCGCTTGTAGCAGAATCGATGCATTTGCTCGCATCCAAAGGCGCCCCCGTCGGTGATGGGGAAGCCGCACCAGCGGCACACCCAGACAGTGTCGAAATTGGCCAGATCGAGCTTTTTGCCTACGCGGATGCGGGGATCCCGGGCCTTGATAGCGCAGCTAAGGCAACAGCTGGCCAGCGGATACCCCGGGTCCGTCCGGACCGACCGCAGTAGGTGGGAACGAAAGGGGTCGTACAGCAGGCACGCCTTGCAGTGACTGAGGAGCTGAGTATACAACTGAGCCGGGCCGTAGAGGGTGCGGATCTGCTTGGGGTCGATCAACGCGCGGAGCCGCTTGCACGTCTTGCGCAGACGCACCATGTCGGCAAACGCCAGACGCTGCAGGATCAAGAGCCATATCTCGGGTGGTAAGGTGAGAAGATGGCGGGGGCACGGCTCGGGGGGCGGCGGTGGCGGTAGTGGTAACCGAGTATGAGTCGTATGGGGGTTGCCGCTTTTCAGGTTTGTAACCACGTCGGCGCCGGGCTGTGGTGAGGAAGCCGTCGTGTAATCATGGTCTTCCCGCCTAGCCAAAGAAGAGAATGAGTTTCGGACAGTCTCGCGGAAGCCGGTGGGTGAGAGACCAATGAGCTCGTGTATGAAAGAGCCTCCTTGGGCGGCGGGCTCCGGTGACACTGGGCACGACGGTGATGGCCCGGACGTAGAGGTATTACTGACGGGGTTGGTCGGCAGCATGGGATCCACTGTGACAGGGGTGAAGGGAATGAGAGACGCCATGGCCGACCGAGAGTCGAGTTGCGTGAGAGAGGATAATGATAATGAGAAATCGGGAGGCTGGAATCTTCAATCTCCAGCTCCTAAACATTGAACACAGGCAAACACCAGGCAGGTGTGTGTAAGGTATACTTGACTTGTGCCACCAAGGACCGAACAACAAACCTGTCCTAAAGTCCTAAAGCAAATTTCTAGGTTTTGCAAAATACAGGAGGACCTATCGCAGCCTGGTGCCTGCGGCTGAGGGCGGTGGCCTCGCCACCTTCAAGATCAGGCGGGGGTGCAGAGGTCGGAAGCAATTTGCTGCTGCTGACGGCTTGGCTGTCCGCTGCGGGTTTGCCGCTTGGTTGGTTAGGTCAGGTATTTGCGTGCAAAAGAGGACCGAAAACGCAACCCAGCGCCCCCTGGTTGGAGACAGTTTCAAGAACACAAACAACGGGAAAATGTTCAGCGATGGACGCCACCTCATCGCTTTTAAATCCGCCACCGTGTAAATTATGCACGCGCTCATCTGTGCGTCGCCATGACGTTGGGCTACGAAAGAAACTTGTCAACCTCCAGGAGGAACAAACGGCTGACAGGGTTCCGGGGGTCAGCCAGGCGAACTGTGGCCCGGATGCCCGGTTGGTCTCAAAACGGTCCGGTCCACCCAGCCCAACCCCACCTTCGACAACCAAAAGCGACACGAGCAACTGACACGGAAATTGGACGATGGAATTCGGCATTGGAATATACTGAATGGTAGGCCACTTCATGGGGTAAAGTCATGGACAACATAGATTTCTGGATAAATAACTGCAGTGCCAATAAGTAACAAGCAATCCAGAACGCAGGAGCTGTCCCTCCATACCCCCATACCTCCATACACATCATGCAATCATGTTCACCTCACCTGCCTTGAGTACATCCGATGGGTCACCCCCCTCGATCATGGCACCTCTTGTCACACTATCCATCCGCTGTTCCGGTGAACTACCTCGTATTCGTCGTCCAGATCTTGTTGTGTGTTTGTGTTGTAATAGGTATTTGTGATGCACGGGACTATGCCTGGGTCCGTTGGTGAGATTCCTTGGCCTTGTACCCCCTGCGCCCCGTGCACCTCTTGCAGCGCGGACGGGAGCGGTCGCAAATAGAGATCTTGCATTTCCTGCCCAAAGCTCATAGGTGAGTAGGGATTCTGTGGCCCCAGCGGCAGAACAGACGAGAAGCTTGCTGTTTGTTGGCCCGAGAACGAAGTGTTGACAGCCAACCCCGAGTCGGTAGGCAGCAGCCGGGGCCGCTGCCCATGTCCGTGCTGACTGCCCAGCGTGCCTGCCATGTTCTGATCTCGGCTGCCAAACCCTAAATGAACCTGCATCGGCGGTGGGACAGTAACAGGTTGGCGTGGTTGGCCGTTGCTTGCATTGCCGCAGGGAAGAAAGCCCAGCGTCATGCCCCCGAGGCTATCCACGCCGCCGATGGGGTAACCATCGGTAGTTGGCGGCATGTACGGCGTGTGTGGCTGTGGCTCCACCATCAGCGACTGATCCAGGTTTCCCAAGATGTTGGTTCTGTGAGGAGTAACAGCTGGTGACGAAACACTGCTCTCGGAACGTCCCGAGCCCTGCCGCCCAGGGGTAAGCAGTACCGAGCCCCGCCGACTTGCCATCTGTCGCGGCGTTTGTATACGCAACCGTCTGCGGCTATTCGCCACCCCACCAGACTTTAACCGGCAGGCGTCGAAAATAAAGTCGAGATGATTCCTGAAAACATCGAAAACAGAGTCGACATCGCCGGCTGGTCCCATCCCTTCCCGAATCCGTTGCCGCAGCTGGCTCATGGCATGGTCCGTGTTGAACTGAGCATACACTTCATCCAGCTCGGTCGGGGGTACAAAATCTAAAAGCACATGTCGTTAGCGCCCTAACGCAAACGGCGCCCGTCGGATTTGCATACCGGGCTGGGGGATATCAACATCGCCGGGGAACAAACGACCCCACAAACTCGTCCAGCCGTCGATCTTGATGTCCGCCTTGCGCTCATTGAGAGCCTCTTCGATCCCCGGCGTGATGCCATCTTCTGGATCTGCACTGGGCGGCACCGCCTGAGGGTCGCAGATCTCGTCCTTGCCGACAGAGATATGTTCGTTCAAGGCCCTCTGTGTTCCCATGGCCCGCCTGCACCGCGGGCACGTGAAGGGTAGGACCGCTATCTGCTTATGGAAGTTCTTGACATGGCGCCTACCACTCGTTAGTGACGCCCCGAAAGGGTTGGAGCCCAATAAAGAATAGGATACTTACTTGAGCTGGGGAACATCCGGGAACGACTGAACTGCGCAACTCTGAAAGTCCCGGACATTGAAACGCACCGGATTCCGCTTGCGGAACGGGCAACTAAAATGCATGTCGGAAGACGGTTGCTGGATTTGCGAAACCCTTTGACGTTTCCCGTCGCCGGGGCTGCCGTCGCCAGCACCACCGCCATGATCATGCCCGGCGTTGGACCGTTTTCGACTCCCGCCACCATTGCCCTGACCCCCATCGCCCCCAACACCGGAACCCACCCCATCCGCAACACCCCCGGCCGGCCAAATGGGAACGGCGTTGGTGCCCGTTCTTCCCCATGTTGACTCATCGATCACGATTCCGGTATTGCTAAGGCCGCTGTTGAGAACAATGTGGGATATCTCGTCCAAGCAGTAGCCAACGGATTCGTACACCGACGAGACGGTCCCCGCAAGGGCAACATCGTGAAGCTGGATACCGAACGCCTGTTGGAGTACCAACCCGCAGACCTCATGTATTATGTTGTCATGCAGTCTGGGTGTCGACCGTCCACTTCGGTCTCCAGATAGGTTCGACTCCTCGCTGTACCTTAAGCTGAGTTGTTCATGAGGCCCGGGGGCAGCAGCGTCTGCTAGTGCTTGACCTGGCTTGAGCACGCTTTCCTCCGGAGTATTCCTCCCGGGAGTCGACGCGTCATCTTCCCCTTCGGCATCGGCATCCGCTTTTTCTTGCCATACCGTCTTCTCCTCGTCCAGGGTCGCGTCGACCGTGTCACGACCAGCGTCCTCGGCGTCATGCTTTTCCGCGTGTTCTGGGGCGGCATCGCCCGCCGCAACCCAGGGCGCAATGACCCAGGGTTCTCGAGTACCAGAAAGGCTCGGTTCCGCACCGGAACCTGGACTGGACAAGGCGCCCGGCACAGTGTACTGGCTGAGGCTCGACTTTCTTGAGCTCATTTGTTTCCAGACGGCGTTGTCGAAGAAGTTAACGCATTCAGGCGATGAACTATAGGGGGATACTCGGGATTTATCTGCCTCCGAAGAAACGGTTGGGACACGGGATTGGCGGACGCTTCTGCAAAAGCTATCTGACGAGGGGAACCAAGCCGCTGCGCCGCGGTGACGACGCGTACACTTCCGCTTCGATATTGGGAGCCTTCGTCAGCGAAAGGCGACGTCGGGGCTGTTGAGATCAGTCAAGTCGGTGGCTGTGGAAACCCGCGACGGACCAGCCGGTGTTGCTTTCGCTGGGGGTAAAAGTCGGAAAGAGAGCTCTCAGCGGTATCCCGTCTCTCAAGTTGAGAATCCTCGATTATGTCCTTGTCTCTCTTCGCAACAGGCCCAGTTCCCTGGAGTGCGAGATGTTTGAGCCCTCGCTGAGGCCTTTCCGCCGAAGAACCTTCGACGCCTTCATCTTGATCTCGCACCGCGGCGGCCATCCAGGGTCGCGCCGAAGGCGAGGTTGCTCCAGAGGGGCGCTCCATCAACGCAGTCGACGGGAGGGCAAGGAAAAATCTTATGTAGTCGGTCGTTTCGTCAGCAAAATGCCCGGCAGTCGGTGACGTAGAGGTGCCGCCAGCAATGCTGTCTAAATCTTTGACGGGGTCGCCGGATCTGTCAACCGCCTGCAATGGGCTTGATTTGATATACTAGCGCAGCAACACCAGGGCGCGAACCAGCCCGGACACGAGCAGCCAGCCCCCACCAACAAGCACGAGGATGGACGGAGCAACAGCAAGGGCGGTTGGTGAGCTGCCGCCCACCGTTTCAGCGGGGACGCCCTTTTGGTCCAGCCTCAACGCAGGGCATCAGGTCATTGGCTGCGGCGACTGCAACTCGAAGGGGTCTGCAAGGCGGCGGCGCTGTCCGGCCTTGCAGCCGATGTTGGTTCCAACACCATGGAAACCAGGGGCATCATTGGTTCGGACTGAGATTCGGGAGCGCTCACTTGAAAGCATCCAAGCAAACCGCGCTGAGTTCTCAATACCGATCGTTGTCACGCTGAAAAAAAAAAAAAAAAACGGCACGTTCAACATAAAAGCGCCCAACTGGTGCCATCGGACGCTCTTGGCAAACTGGTCTCCTGCATCGGGTTCCTGTGCGAAGAACGCATCGCATCCTCATTCAAAACAACTGAGCGCAAAGGAGGCAGAGCTAAGCGCGACAACAAGAACAGAACAGGTAATAAATGTGGAGGTGGGGCCATGGCGGGAGGCAGCCGCAGGCAGCCATGGGACGGGACATGCGCAAGCATGGCGAACCAACTTGGCCAGCTCTTCGAAACCAACCAATATTTTGTAGGAAGTGTGGCTTCGATGTATCAGGCTGGGGTGGAGCCACATACCACATCCGGGCGGGGTGGGCCAGCGACGTCGACAGCGAAACATCGAGCTGCCTGTCCAGCCCAAGAACAACTTTTGACATATGCCCCTACCACATCATCCTCTACCGAAAACATTTCTACTCGGTGGGCAATGTGGCACCCATCTCATTCTGCCTTAATGGCACCCGGCCTCCAACCATTTTTCCCTCTTTGAGCCCTGGGACGGATCATACCGGCAACACCAGCAACGCAGCAACCCGACCTTGTGCGATTGCCCCTCCCCTGGCACCACCAAGGCAGTCCGAATAAGCGCCCAAGGTGCTGCTTTCTCGCATGGGCAATGAACTTGGTTGTGGCAGGGTCACCACAAGCTCCCTCTCTCGGCGTCCTACGCACAAAGCTCCTTCCTGTTGGGCTTCTATCGCGGTTTGGCCAGGCCGATGAATCCGGATACTTGGTGGAACTGCGCTCCTGGCTGCTGTCGCCCACCGTACGAAAAGTAAGGTGGGACGAGATGCCAAGCTCTCAGAGCTTGCTCAGCAGAAGTACCCTCGACTTTTAGCTCTGCCGCGCAACAGCGACCGACTTTGAACAACATTCGCAACCAGCCATCGGTCTCCTGAATTTTTGCCTGTCAACATCTACCACAGTCGCGACCCGAACCATCATCCCCCAACTCCATCCACATCCACCCCATCCATCAACACGACAACCCTCGACGTCGCGTCATCAGCATCGAATCCGCGCATCACACAAGATATTTTACAAAGGGATCATTTCCGACTTTCAAACCCAGCCACCCCGCGCATCATCCACGTGCAGTGCATATCAACAATGGCCGGTGGCAAGGGCAAGTCCTCGGGCGGCAAGAGCTCCGGCGGCAAGACGTCCGGAGTTGATGGTACCAAGAAGCAACAGAGTCATTCGGCTCGCGCCGGTCTACAGGTATGTCCCGTCGTCGTTGAGCATCGCATTATTATCCATGCGCCCAAGTGTGTTGGTGCACCCGAGGCCATCACCATCACCGAAGGCTGCACACACATACACATACCCCAAACCGCCCACCGCCCCCCGCCTTCATCCACTACCCCGGCGGCACCCTTTTTCTCCTACGGCTTCCCAGCTTCCCATCTTATCATGTCACGTCGTTGCCATCTCCGCGCAATATGCAGACAGCCAACCCCACCCCGGACACTACGCGAGGAGTGTCACGGCCTGGCCTGTCGACCTGTCGCGAGCAGTGGGCGGCGCCGCTAAGCCCCGCGCGGTCCCCAGCGCGCTCTTCTTTGTCCCTAGATTATTGCTAATCTGCCTGCATTCCAGTTCCCTTGCGGCCGTGTCAAGCGTTTCCTCAAACAAAACACGCAAAACAAAATGCGGGTCGGTGCCAAGGCAGCCGTGTATGTCACTGCCGTGTTGGAGTATCTAACGGCCGAAGTGCTTGAACTTGCCGGGGTATGTCTTGCGTCTTGCGTATTGCGTCCGCGCTACTACTCTTCCCTCTTCCCTCCTGCTGTGTTTTACTAACCCCGCGCCCTGCTATAGAACGCCGCCAAGGATCTCAAGGTCAAGCGCATTACTCCTCGCCATCTCCAGCTTGCCATCCGTGGCGACGAGGAGCTGGATACTCTAATCCGCGCCACCATCGCTTTCGGAGGTGTCCTTCCCCACATCAATCGCGCCCTTCTCCTCAAGGTCGAACAGAAGAAGAAGGCCAAGGCGATCGAGGCATAAGAGATGGAGATGATTAGCACGGATTTCTTTAAACAGGCCGACGACATCTCCTGGTCGCCATCTTTGGCAGGACAGTTTAGCTGGATGGTTTGGCAATCGTTTTTCTGTTTGTTTACAACATCGGGTCTTCCCATGGTTCGACCCCTAATTCCCTTTGATGGCACGGACTGCGTTAGGTTAGACCGGGACGTTGGAGGCTAGCTATCTGGGTACTTCGATGATGCCCGCGATACCATATCAGAGCTGATGGGGAGGTTTCGGGGAGCAATGGCCGGCGTTGGTCTGGGATGGGATTTGTGCGAGAGAGCAAGAGCATCGACGATTTTGGCCTTGGGCTTCCCCCCCTATCGTTGTTGGGGGCTCTGGTATCTGTAACAACAGTCTTATCCTGCGCTTACGGGACGCCCGTGGATGCTGGTGCGGTGCCTCAGACACCTGCAATGACTCGTCCTCTGTAGGCGCGAACCTTGGCCTCTAACTAGCGAGCGCCGAAACCGAACGCCTGCCTACGAAGCAAGACAGGGCAACGGGTTCTGAGAAGAACAGATAGGACGCAATTACTTTCTTCATTACTTAACTCGACACATGTCCGTTACAATGTTGAACGTTGAAACCAGAGTCGTCTGCGTGCGTTCACTCATCCTGTCACTCGGATCAGCGAATGAAATGAAACCTTTTATTGGCTGTGTCAGTGTGTTGAGTCGACTTAACTTTTCCAAAATTTCCCGAGTCTACTTCTCCCTGGCCTCTTTCACCCAAAGCCTCCTGCTCCTTCTCGGTCCGTGAGACTGTTCGGGGGCTGCCGCATCCTTCTTCCTCTCCTTAACCCGCTCCTCTTGTGTTTCGCTCTCCAGGTCCTTTTCGTGCTCAAAGCTGCCCTGTTCCTCGTGGGGCCGGCTGACGGGAGGACTTTGCTCATCAGTGAGTCGAATCTTCCTCGCAGTCCAAGCGCTGTATATATTGCGGACGCATTCGGTTGGAAAGTCACAATGAAGCCCGCAGTTGTACTGCCCAGAGACGTACATACTCCTTTTGTCGCGAGCCACCTTTCTCTTGGCGGACCTCGATAGCGGCTTCCACACGAGTCTCCCGGTATCTGGCTCGTTCTGCCTAGAGTGTACTGTGGTTAGTGCAAACAATGCAAATGTATCTTGGTCCGCAGCCCCTATATCACAACTTCGTTGTCGTTTTAGAAAAAATTTTCCGCCTTGACTGCTCGACTTCACTGCGGTGATGATACTGCTTTTCGCCATCTCACCGGCGCGGATGGCAGCAACAGACCGACGGTATGCACCCCACTGCGCCCAACTGTAATAATCAAACTCGGCATCACAACAGTCCCTCTTCCCGGGGAGCCTCCGTTTTAAGGAGGTGCCTGCTGAAGGCGCTGTACAAAAGTTGTGACTGCAGTACAAGCATCGCCGGGTGGCTGTCAAGGGATACTCTGAATCGCACTCGTGGCATCTCCAGATCCATGGGTACGTGGTCGGGGGCGCTGGTGGCAACAGCAGCGGCAATGGTGTTGAATTTGCAGTCCCGTGAAGGCTCGATATCACCTAAACTTTTTGGGGTTGTTGGCTGTGTAGGCCGTTGTATTGAATGTTCTGTAGTATCAGCCACTGTGCTTGCTACTTCCGCAAGCATAGCTAGCCGGTTAGCTGTCTGGTCGGCGGCGGCCTGTGGGGAAGCGTTCTCTACCGGTTCGTTACCGATGGAAACCTGATCGTAGGTAGGTAGCCCGGAGCCAGCAGGCCAAACTGTGACAAAGTAAGTTAAAATGAAGATGGCTATTTAAGGGGGTGTCCAAGTTGCTTCGGGCTGCTTGAGACACTCAATCAGGGAGGCGCCCGGTTTTATCCCGGGTCACCCACTGTATTAGGAGTTTTCGGGAAGAGACATTGCCCTTGTTTTCGTTTCCGTTTAAAGGGCTGAGGTATTGTTCGACTCTTTGTCACCCAAGTCACTTACATTCACGGGGAACCTCCGATACAAAGGACACCCCTCAGCGGTTGAAAACTGGGTACCTGCACACTTGAGGTGGAAACAAGGTCCTTTATGTCCAAGTGGTTGATAAAATAAAGATTTATAGTATAATTAGTCCGTGACAAAGCCTGCACTGAACTTTGATGGGATGAACTCGAAACCAAAAACTAACCGATGATGTTGAACTAACTTCCTACTTACTACGTAACTTAGGTAGGTAATTACCTCCTAACTGAACACCACCGACCAGCCCGCCCTGTCGAGACAGATATGGTTATCTTCACTTCAACGGTTGAGAACAAATGATAAGAAAGATCACGGATCATCCACAACTCGAGGGTGTAACCGTGATTAGTTGCCACCAAAAGGCATTGCATGTTGGTCCTTGGAGCGTGGCCCGTGCCATTCGGCTCACTCAGGGGTGAGGCGAGTTGTTGATTGATGATGATCGACTTCATCGGCCATTGCTTCTTCTCATTCAAGTTCCCGTCCAGGTTCCTCAAACGGTTGGCCGTGGCATAACTAAACCGTGTGCACCGAGCATTCACTGATTGCGGCCCAAGGTCTCGGACGTGATTCCCCTGCTTACCATTGTCAGCCTCGCCGTCGTCATCCGCCATGGTGTGCATAATAATGCGAGCTGTTTTAACTGTGCGCAAGCTCAATAAGGATAATTGAGTGCCCTCCAACCTTCACCGTTTGTGCCTGGCAGCCTGCCACGAGCCTGGCTGCCTCGCTGGGCCCGCGTTGGCGCGGTGAAAGCCGCAGCCCAATAAAAACATTCAGTCGGCGGCCTGACCCAGCTTCCATCATCTGAACGAGTTAGCGCTAGTGGGGCCACTGACGGGTGTCGGGTCTGCTCCCGCAAGCGCATCCACTTCACGCTCGCCCTTTTTTTAGGGCGCTTGCCATGCCATGCCGACACAAGCAGAGGAACCTCGAACCAGACGCAGCATGAACATCGGGCAAAACACACAAAGCTAGGTCCCGGTCTCCTTGCGGCATCGTTGCCCGCCTTCGGCAGTGGTGTTGCTATTATGAGTACCGAGTTGCCACCGCAACATCCCAACACCGTTGATGTCAGACCTCGGGCTACGAAGTCCGGGCCACTGGGTTCTCCTTTTTGCCTTCTGCCAACCTCCCTAACTCGGGTGTTGCACGCCGAGGGAGCGGCACCAAACCCCCTGTTCCCCGCTGCCCCGGTTCTGGGAGGACTCAACAGTGGGTGGATCTCGCACAAAAAAAGACGTCGCTAGCACCAGACCGCCTCCCTGCTTCAGCTTTGACGGGCAAGCAAGTGCGCCTGCCAGTTCACTTTCTCAGCGCCCGCATTGCCTCCATGTTCTCTCAATCCAAATCCATCCAACCCTCCGATCTCTAGACTTCGGGGGCCTTCGCACCACTTTCACGACATCCATGAAGCTGCGGACGACGTGATGACCTAGAAACATTTGATACACACTTGTTCAGCGTCCACCTTCCTTGTCTCCGCACCCCCTGGGACACCCCCCTAGCGCGGTACTGTGGAGAGTTTTTGTTGTTCGTCCCTTTTTTTTCATCGACGTCTGCAGCCCTTTTCTGCATCATCGAAAAACCACGCGCCTCTCCACTCGAAGAATTTGCACTTCGGCTTCCCACGTCGAGAGGGGGCAGCCGACAGTTCGATATCGGATTCAGAGACGGCCGCTTTGATCTCAACCTGCAACAGCCGCCCTTCCGTCCCTGAGAAGCTTGAATCCCCGCCCGACGAAGAAGAGTCCCCCCCCCCGGTGTTGTCCTGGTTCGCAGGACCTCGATGCTAGCTACCTCGAACTCCCGTCAATATGAACCAACAACCCGACCATTACTTCCCGGCCTACGCGATGAGCGCCGCAAACCGGTCCCCCCGCTCTTCGAGACCGGGCTACAACACCACCACTGGTCATCCCGGCCTCAGCCGTTTGGACCAGCGGCAAATGGACCCTGCCGTCCAAGCTCCCACAGCGCTTTTTGCGGCCGATGACCGCTTCGGTTCGTACGATGGCAATGCCTTCAGGCACAATAGAATGCAACCCTCGCCAGGCTTTGCGGCGGACAACTTCATGGGCAATGCCCAGGCCTGGGCCTATAACTCGGGTGCAAGCACCGTGACCGGTGCGCTAGGCGATGGAAGGCTTCGTTCAGGCGCCCGGAGGGCAATACCCCAGGTTCGCCCCCCACGTGTTGCGCCCGGAGACCCCCCCCCCCTCCACCTCCTTGATTTTGCACATGAACCGCTTTGCTGACATCTTCGCACGCAGGAGTGGACCATGCCCGAACAGCCCGGCCTCGGAAGCCAACCACCGCCCCCGGTCCCTTCTGCTCAATATCCTGCAGTTGGTAGCTTCAACCCGGCCATGAACCTCATGAACGGCGACGGAGCATTTCCAAGCGAACGTCACGGCTACCCGACCAACATGTACGATCCTCGCCATGAGGCCAAGGCATTGGGCAACGACCTAATCCCGACTGCCATAGTCATCAAAAACATACCCTTCAATGTGAGGAAGGAGATGCTTACGACCATCATGTCCGAGCTAGGGCTGCCGCAGCCGTATGCGTTCAACTACCATTTCGACAACGGCATCTTCCGTGGCCTCGCTTTTGCCAATTTTCAGAACCCGGTCGACACGCAGACCGTCATTGAGCAATTAAACGGCTACGAGGTTCAGGGCAGGAAGCTGAGGGTTGAGTACAAAAAGATGCTACCTGAGCACGAAAGAGAGAGGATTGAGCGGGAAAAGCGGGAGAAGCGCGGTCAGCTCGAGGAGCAGCATCAGCCCATAACTCTCCATTCCCAATCCTCGATGCATTCGTTGAACGCGGCACACACGTCCCGGACTCGAAACTCGCCGTTGCGCAAGTCTCCTGCGGAGGCTCCCGCGAGAAGCGCGGCCGCGAACCCCCATGCGGCCCCTGGAGATGTGGACCTTAACAACCCGGACACGCTGAGCTTTTACACCGAGTTGATGCTCTTCAAGAGCGATCCGAGTCGCGAGATCATTGTTTTCCCCAGTACCATTACCCCCCAGCAACGGCGTACCGTTCACATCCTCGCACATAACATGGGTCTCGAACACCGGTCCGTGGGCGAGGGACAACACAGGCAGATCCATGTTATCAAGGACAGCGGGGCTGCGCCAGCCATCCACATGCCTCCAGGTGTCTCCGCTGATGCCCACCGCAGGGGTTTGAGCCGCGCCGCCACGATTGACTTTGCCGAAACGCGCGGTAGCGTGCCCGGTCAGTACAATACGCTAGGCAGACAGGGTCGCCATGGCCCGACCCTGGAACTTCCCGACAGCCCGGATGGCGGTCTGAATGCGCTTCGCGGCGTCAAGTCGTTCGCCGATCTCCGGTCCTACACGCCGAGCCCGTCCTTGTCCACCACATCGGGATACCCCCAAGGGAACAGCGCCCACGCGACGAACGTGGCTCAGTACGGTGAGTACAGCGCCAGCCTCGGCCAGCCCAGCGCTCTGACGACACCAACCACGCCGGGCGCTGCCTCGAACAACGAACCGTCATCCATGTTGATCGGGGAGCTAGGCTCGCTAAATCTGAACGAGTCATTCAATGGCAACCGGCTGCGACCTCGGGATACTCCGGGTGCCATCGGAAGCCAGCGCCCCGGCCTGAACGGAACCAGCACCCGCAGCGTGCCGGAGCGCCAGCCTCACGGGCCCAGCGGCGATTGGGGGGAGAAAATTGGTTTCGGGGGGCGAGGCCGGACCAATGGCCACATCCAGCGAGGCAGTGGTAAGTAACGACCTAGACCAGCCGGTCTACAAGCCCTCGTACTAATCAATGTGCCCAGACTCGTCCGACAACGGGGTTCGCACAACATCCTCCTCGGCGTCGAGGTTCCAGTAGTGTGAATCTCCGCCCCATCCCGTCCGGCAACAGCAACAAGCTTTGGCAAAGACGGGGTTTGCATCCGCAAGAGCCAGTGTCCGCGATTTGTCTAACCCCTTGGCGCTGTACACCCTTGTCCGCTTCCGATCATTTGTGTCCTCTTGGATATACGGCTCCTTCCGAGGAGAACCACCTGCGGCACGTGTACCGGCGTTAGCTCGGATGCAGCCGGATGGCCGTCGGCCAAGCCAACATCAGCTGGCCATCGCGCGCTTTCTACGCCTCGACCATACAAAACATTGTAATATCTCTTTTTTTTTGGTTGTTTCCCGAAGCAATTGGTGCCTTTTTCTTTCCGCGCCAGCCCCGTTTTCCTCTTTGGTTGGGCATTGTTTTCCCCATGGGTTCAGGGATATGCGACGATCAGGGCTTCATCGATCAGGTGTACATCGCCATGTCCTCGTTACACATCGATTACCCCCGTCTAACGAACTGTACCGGTCGTCCCTCCCTGCCCATATCACACGTTGGATGATGACGACGGGGTGCCAACCCAACGACACGGATGGGGATGAAGAATTGGGATACACATACTTTCTACACCTGCATGGGCAACCATCCACTCCAATAGCCCCGTCTCAACGCAAGACGGGCATGACCACACGATTATGGCCGCCGCCTTGGCCAACTTTTCATCTCCGACCCGACCCCAAGACCTGCCCATTGAGTGGCGAAGACCGGTGGATCTTGCCAGCAAACCCACCAGGCTTTACGAATGTTACGGTGTTACGATGTCACGTCCTAGATGGCTATGACAACCTCCTTTCGGCGGGCTCTATCACACTTGCCATGCCGCCTCTGGGGAGTAAAAGACAACGGCAACGAAAAAAAATCATTAATACCACCCACTGTGCCATCCTCAATTGTCCCGTTTCCGCCTAAAACGCGCGTCCGCAGTGGTTGATGGTGCGTTGAACGCAACAGTCAGGGGACAGTGGTGAAGGAGCACTTCTCGGAAGAAAATACAAAAGTTTTTGTCTTGGTCAACCCACCATATGATTGATTGCATTTGGATGGCTTGTTTTGCGCCCGCGTCTCCGGACCGCACTCGTACTTTATAATATATTTGCTTTTATTTCATTTATTTTACGTAGTTTTAGTTTTTGGCTATCGCCCTCCCTTCATTTGAATACACTCTGCTTTGGACTTCCTAGCAAGCTGACGCTTTCTAGCAGCTCCCAAAACCAAGGTGTCATTTTTATACTTTCGCCTATCATTTTTACCATCTGCTTGCTGTTGGTGGCCGATGAGTTCATTTTCCGGTCATGTTTTATGGAAGAAGGTGGGCTCAGGTGAACGGAAAAGGAAGCGGAGAAAAGGCAGGTTGATGACTTAGCTACTGGACGTTGGGGATCAAGTTAGAGGACCTGGGGACGATAATCCTTCTACGGATTCACTCGACGTACCTACTGCGGGTTCCACTCCGTAATGGGAATCCTGCTCAAACCTCAGCATCTCCCGCTTCGCACTTTGATGATTTCAGGGGCCGGTGAAGAAGGGGTGGTTCCTAATCAGGCCATTCATGGCAAGGCATTCCTCGGCAAGGAAGGGATAGTGCTGGCGAGCATGTATTTATGATTATGTCTGTCGACTTGGGAGCATCGCGTTGACCGACTTGGTTTGTAACAAATACATATCCCCGCCTTCATGTGCGGCTATCACTAGCTATTGAAGGAGCGCCTCTTTCCCGGACGCCTTAAGCGTATCATGCACCGCCCGGAGCACAATGTGATGCAGGCTCCTCGGAGCTGCGACGAACCCAAAGTTGGCCTCAAGTTTTCTCCCCGCTGTCAAATCGATTTCTTTGCCGTGCACGTCAGTGATCAACCCCCCGACCTCCTCAAACAACAGCATGGCGCCGGCATGGTCCCATATCTTGGCGTACCGGTCCCTCTTTTTGTAAACCCAGACAGTCATGTTGGCAGCGCCGACGGCCAGAACGGCCCATCTGGGAACCCAGCCCAGCAGGTCGTTACCCGGAAATGGTACGTGCAGCAGCTCGGCCACGCCCTTGTGTACCACATCGACACCGGAATCGAGCAAAGCCCAGCAGGTGACAGAGCGAAGGTCACTGGTTGACGTTGCGTCATCGGCGTGCCGGGGAAGCCTCCGAGCCTGCGCCTCGCCATGGTCCCCCAACAACGGCCTAATGTGAGCCCCATGTCCGCGAAGTGCATATAGAACACACCCCTTCCCGGTCGGGTCGACGGTCCCGTCCGTTACCGGAGGCGTGACGTCCACCGATAAGAGAGGGCAAGCCACGACACTCAAGACCTGGCGTCCAGTTTCGAGTAGGGCGATATTGATGGCATACTGCTCACGGCGAATGAATGTCTTGGTGCCATCGATGGGGTCAAACACCCATATCCTCCCAGGGCCCGGCGTGAGCGTAGTGCAGGAATCAATGACATCGCAGAGGTCATCGGCGTCACGGAATAGGGTGTCACCCGCGCACTGTGCGATGATGGCGAGCACGAGGGACGCTAGCCTTGGGTTCTGCCTCAGTTCGTCGGCTGATTCCTCGCCTATGAATCCATCGTCCGGGAAGGCATTCCGGAGGGTGCGGGTGAGAAGGGCTTGGATAGCAAAATCGGCGACAGTAACCGGACTCAGGTCGTCCTTGACTAGGTCGAAAGTCCCCGGGGTAGCATCAGCCTGTGCGGCAGCAAGAACCTCGCGGCTAATGCGGGCAGCTGTTTGGGCTACTGCGAGGGCTACCTCGAGCTCGTGGCGGTAAGGGCTGTCCATGACGGCCAAGTGATCCTGCTGATTCCTGTCACACTTGTCCCCGGTACCGGAGCGACTTGTTCGGGACTTGGTTGTTGTATTTGCGCAGTACGCCAAGGATTAGCAAAGACAAGGCGATTTGTTTATTATTGCCTCTCTCCCTCCAATGATAACGGCGGAGATTTGTTTGTTCGGAGGGCGGTAACCAAGTCGCCTTGTTGCCGGGCTTGCCTCGAGAAACATGTGTAGTTGTTTGGGAACTTACTGGGCCCCTCGCTCGCAGCTCCCCTCTAGAATCAGTTTAATGCCAAGTACCTTAGTTCAAGTGATTACCTATCCATACAAACTCCAGCCCAAGCACCCTCGCTCCACAATCGGGGCCCCACTAGAGGACATGTACTGCTCAAGCCCTACCTTGGCTTGCATCATTGCATGACTTGGGCAAGATCATACCGCATAGAAGCGGAATACTATCCCACGTGAATGGTGCTGATTATGTCAGGTTCTTTTCTCCTCTGCTTTCTCCCCCATGTGTCTCTTCTAACATCAACCGCCGTCACCACTTTTCGACGGATCCGGGAAAATTCGGCACAGCAGCTACTAGCTAATCCTAAGAGCGAGGTATTATTGCTTCGCAACTGGGAGGGCACAATACCGGCTTACTTGAACGATGAAGGTAATATAAAGGGCAGCTCCCTTCTTTGTCAGGATTGGAAAGAATAGAAAATGGCCGAGAATAAGGCCATCGGTGCCATGCTCGGGGGTCTGGATACGATAGCTGGGTTCAGCAAGAAGGCATATTATAGAGAGAAGGACAGAATAGGTGTGGGCTTACCGTCAACGAACGATCGACCCGGATGGAGCCCTCCACGCCTCCAGATGCTGCATTTCCCCCCTCTCGACTTCACCACACCAACATTTTTCAAGCTGCAGCCAAGTTCCCAAGGGGATTAGAACGTGCGTGCTCGGCTGATCACACCCCGGGGCCAAGCCCGACTTAAAGTAGAGGTGGCGAAGAAGTCATAGCGACATCAACGGATAGAATCCGGCCAGTACGCGGGTTTGGGGGGCACAAGAACATCTGCCGGGCATCGTTCCCAAGTCCGACCACTTGATTTCCAACCACGAATGTGAGCCGCATATTGAGCTGACCCGGAGAGCGTATGGAGGAGGAGGAGCCAGTGCTGATCTAGGCGGCACACTTTGTCGGGGGTCAACGCGACAAGTGTGAATAGAGCGCGAGCAGAGGGTATGGTTCGGAAAGTTCACGAAAGAAGAACTCGCCGGGGCCCTGTTCATCTATCGCCTGCCGCGAATTTACAAAGCCGGCACAGCCCGCGGTCGGCAGATATTCCACCGAGCACCCTAGCGATGTCAGTGATTGGCCCAAGCGGAGGTTTACCGAGCACAGATGATGAGATCGCGACAAAAACGTGAAAGGGGTGTGTTACAAGACCTGGCCCAAGAGCTGCGTGATAACAATATCACAACTGATCCCCACTCTCGGCTTCTGTCCATCTTCAGAAGATGATCTTGCTACCCAACTTCACCCGTCCCTAATAGCGGACCACCAAGTGCCATATGGTGGTATCCCACTCAAGCTGGTTCCTCGGCATCTACGTGAGCATGCCATGACTGTTCACTGGTCGGGGCTCACAATTGGAAGCTGTCATGGCGCTTTTTTGTCAGTCTGCAGACCCGAGGACTGCCTCTGCCATATCCTGGAAAGGGCCGAAACCATCACCAGTCGACCAACGGTGGGGACACGCGTAAATGAAAACGGGCGTGTTTGGGTATGCCGCCGTCCCCGGGCCCATGCAGAGCAACCTCGTTCCTCCGCAAACTTCGGCCACCCCAGACTTTTTCAGCTAGGCTTGTTGACATCTGACAACCACCCCCTCCCCCCTCTCCACTCCCCGGGCCGTGAGCTGCCATGAACACCTAGCTGGCTCGGCGCCTATCCGCTGCATATACGTCACTTGGTCGGGCTTTGCCGCTGGGCTCTTCATTAATGAACCATGTGCGCGACTGGGGGCCAAGGCAGGCGGCGAACGAGGGGTGTGACCTTGGGCAATAATAGGGATATTGGGGGTCTGGGGTGGGATGGCTCTCCTTTTACCCGGGGGACTCAATAGGGCAATGTGTACCTTATTGGTATGCGCCAGGGCAAGGTGCCAGCCAGCCTACCGCATTCGGAACTCCGGCAATTGTCACAGCTGCAGCAGGGGGTTGTCCAATAACGGCTGGGGCACGCTCAACACCAATCGTTGATATTATACCCAAATGACAGAAGACCTTCGAACTTGTTCCGTAGCATCGGCAGTTGCTGGTTGCCGGGGCGCCTGAACGGCCTGCACTTGGCTCGACCGGGTCATCGCCATCCATGGGGCTAAGAAGCAAGTCAAGAGAATGAAGGGGGAGGGGCGCGGATGGGGCGAGACCGACATGTGTAAGTGTCCCGGTGCAACGTCATTTGATCTGCTTTCCGCCGTTCTTAAAGCCTTTGATTCCTCGCCAGGCCTCGTGTACCTCTCCCCTTTCTCAGATCTCTATCGCGAGGAGCAGATTGTAGGAAAAAGCAACATCCCAGCCAGTCCCATCCCAGGAGTAGGCGAACGAGCTCGTGACATACACCAAGAAGATCGAAATTAAGGGAACAAGTCAAAGATGCATCAGTGGGCTTCCCTCGCCGCAGCGGCGGCGCTGCTGGCCAACGGTGCCGTTGCACAGTTCAACATGCTACGGTTCGCCTGCTCCCAGCTCGTCGTTGACCGTGTCGACCCCTTGGTCAACCCAGGCCTCCGTTATACGCCCCATCTTCATCAGATCGTTGGCGGCAACTCCTTCAACCTAACCATGACGCCCGTTGAGTACGACCTGGCCAAGCGATCGACATGCACGTCTTGCAGTTTCAACCAAGATAAGTCCAACTACTGGACTGCTGTCATGTTCTTCAAGGCCAAGAACGGCACCTACCACCGCGTCCCGCAAGTCGGCAACGGTGGTCCCCAGGGCAAGCTCGTCAACAACGGGGGTCTGGATGTCTACTACATTCCTAGCGGTAAAACCACTGCCTTCAAGCCCGTAAGTACATTCGCTACAAGAAAGGGTGGACGGGTGGAACACATCGACTGACCGGCTTTCTATCCCTAGGGTTTCCGTATGCTCGCGGGCAACGCCGCCAACACAGACGACAGCAAGGTTTCCAAGGGTAACATCTGCCACCGCTGCTGGACGTCGACGAGTGACACCCCCTTCGTTGGTGGCGCTCCTTGCACTGGTAGCGATACCGTCGCGATTCCCCAAGAAACGCGCTGCAAGATGATCCGTCAGACCATCATCTTCCCGACGTACGCCATCCCTTCTCTCTCTCTCTTCCTTTCCCTGCCTTGCTCTTCTTGGACCGTATAGAAAGTTGACAAAAATGATGAAACCTAGATGCTGGGATGGCAAGAACCTCGATACTCCCGATCACAAGTCTCACGTCGCCTATGGCCAGGGTTCCGGTGCTAGCGGTGGCGGCGCCTGCCCCTCTAGCCATCCCGTCAAGCTTCCCCAGGTCATGTACGAGTTGATGTGGGATGTGAGCAAATTCGCCGACAAGAGCATCTGGCCCGACTCCGGCCCGGCGTTCATGTACAGCATGAACCTTGGGTACGTATCTCGCGCCCTGCCCCTGGACATTGTGAGCATGTGAAATGAAGGCTAACTGTAACTAGTGGCTCCGCCGCCCATGGTGACTACGTCTTTGGGTGGGAGGGCGATACTCTCCAGCGGGCCATGGACAGCGGCTGCAATCTCAACAACAACTGCCCTGCTGCTGGCCTCACTGCCCAGACTCCGGAGCAGTACAACGCTTGCACCATCAAGCAACAAGCACCCGAGGATGTCGATGGCTGTAGGTTTCCTATGAAGCTCCTGGAGGCAAGAAAGTCTTGATACTAACGCATCTCAATAGGGCTCAAGGCCATGCCCATGGGCGAGATGGCCCTGCGGGCCTAAACTGGCACCAAGACTCGACTTGGGGAGCATTGTTTCTGAGCCAGGGCTTGATACGCTGCCCCGACTGGCCGGCAGTCTTACAACCGTCCCATTTAGCCGTTTTTCTTCCAGGACTCCCGGAGAGCGATGTGGTTTTCTTTGGACGGCAGGCAGCTCTGCCGGTTGACTTCTTATTCTTGTTTCACCATTGTACTCGAGCCATAGTCTTCACCTCCTTGAGTATTATCTCCGCTTTCAGCACCAGAAACCAACTTGTTCTTGATGCAGAGTTTTGGCCGTTCCCGCTCCATCTTCAACCACACCCGTTCCTACTACAAACTGAATCTTGGGCTGCGCTGTATTTGACGGGCCTGGGCCTTTTGCGTTCAATATTGCTCCTTTAACCCAAGATTGCGCAACTCGAACTAAGTCTAATCCAAATAATATACAAACCAACCGCCGGCGAAATTACCTTATGAAAGCATTTTTCTCGGTTCTCAAAGTTCGGTGACTCTTGAACCCCCACCCCATATGCCCAAACGCCCCCAACTCGCCGGCTCTTCATAAAGTCGCTACTACCCGGCTCCACGGACGACCCATGGCCGGTACCCAGAAGTTCTGCCGGGAAAAGCCAAACCGTGACAGTGCCAAGGTTGAGCGCCAGACGAGTCTTTATTAACGGCGGCCCCTGGCTGGCCTCTTGTCCTGCCCGGCGCGTGCCTTTCGCATGAAATGTAACACGGCCATGCCGCACTACGGTCGAAATGCGTGGGCGGATGCCACATGCCAGGGCAGACCCAGAAAGATCCCCGTACGGCAGCGCTGACCCCGTGCTTCTAGAAGAATGTTGTTGTATTCTGCCTAAATCTCCTCCGCCATCACTAGCCCGCGGGGCGGGATGACCAGACATTGAACGGGCGTCGATCTTGGAGAATAGATGCTGGGCTGAATTTGAGACATGGGCGGTCAAGAGCAGGATGGTTTATTTTCCACCAGTCATGGCGAAGCTCAGGGAGGAGGGTTCCATTGCACGTAACCTGTCAATAGCACTACCGCGGCGGATAGGTTCCACTGGGCTTCCATATTTGTTCTAGAAAAGCAGAACGATGAACGAGATCCATATATATCCTTGAATGCACTAGCTCCCCGCGTGAACCTGGACCACCCGAGAAGTAAACGAAAGCAATCTGCAGACCAGGCTGCCCGCAACCAAGAGTCACTCATGTGTTCGTCCGACGACCAAATTCATACGCCCATAGTCCCGGCAGTATCGGGGTCTCGGCATACTTGCGGCCGAAAACCGAGTGAAGACATTTGCCATCCCCCAACACCCAAGATGATCCTCAGAAGGCGGTGCCAGAGGTACTCCTCCCAACAGTTTTGAAGTTATAACTCATCCATTGCCCATCCGCCCTCAACGTGTCGAACCGGCTCACGCCATTCTCGGGGTCTTCCAAGCTGGTTTCAAAACTGCTCAAGTAGAAGCCGATGATGACGACCAGGTAGCTGAGGAGTAGAATGCTTCCCTTGAAATAATTGCTCTTACCCTCGCCGTACATGTAGCTCAGCAAGAACACGCACAGGATGACCGTCACCATGTCCCACTGGGGGAAAAGCAGGCTGAACGTGTACCGGGCCACGTCCTCGGCAGGGACCCCGAGGGGGTTGACAGCCGAGAAAAGCACCAAGGCGGGAACCTGCAAGAGACACACCTGCAGAGCATAGGCGGAACCAATTTCCATGGAGAGTGCAATATTGCCGTTCATGGCGAATGAGATGGCGTTTAGGAACTCGGTGGTGTTGGGAACCAGTGCAAATAGCGTGATCCCGAGAAACTTCTCATCAATGTCGAAGCTCTCGAGAACTACATCAACTGTGTCCACAAGGATCTCGGCAATGATGGCGTAGAGGACAGTGGCTCCCATTAAGATGATGGCGCTCTTGAGCCGGCTCCAGTTTGGCGCGTCGTGGCCACCGTGGCCACCGTGGCCGTCTGCCTGCGCGCCCGCCGGCCCTGTAGCGTCATCCTGGCCCGGTACGATGGCGGCGCTGCGCACCGCACCCGAGTGGCTGGCCGAAGCCGGTGGGTTGGCGGACGTCGGGGTGGTGCCTGGTGGGCCGCGCCTTGCCTGCACGTTTCTAGCGGCGACAGTGGCAGCAGTCGCGGCAATTTCGGCCACTTGATGAACGAGATTGCTGTTTTCGGCATCGGTTAGCCCGGGGATGTTAATAGTGGCGCAAGCGGCCTCAGTAGTCCCGTAGCTGCCACCGGGCTTCGGCGGAACTAGGTGAGGGGTGCCGTTGGTTCCGCCTCCGGAGAGAGCTGTGTTCTGCCGCGTCTCCTCGTCCGTTCGCGAGTACTGCCCAACTTGTCGGAGGGACTGGCCAAGGATGCGCTTGTACAAGTGCGAGTCTCGAATATCCACACCGCTGGCTTCCCCAACCGGTGGATTGCCCAATGGTCGGGGGGTTGGGTGAGGGGTGGCGTGGTCATCGTGTTTCTTCTCATCTACCTCCGTGTTCCAGATTACCGCCGCATGCGTGCGGAGCGTGAACCACAGTCCGATGATATAGGACATGAACAGCATTGTGGCGGCGAGATAGCAATAAGGACGCACCGCTTCGATGTAGAATCGGTCGCTAAGAGCGGGCGTTTGGGAGAAATAGCAACGGCGGCAGTCACGTAAAGCCCCCCCACCATCGTTGGGAGTGTCAAAGTTGACGCAGTCTTGGCAAGTTAGCTCGTGGGTGCCGTAGATTTGATAGAAGAGAGTCGGGCCAAAGGCACCAATGACTGCAAAAAGAAGCATAGTTGAGGTCACACCGGCCGACCTCGAGTTAAAGCGCTGGGTCTTGCGCTTGATGGCGCCGAAACACATAGACAGGCCTGGCAGGAAGAGGACACCAGCAAAAATGCTGCCGACAATGCTGCCTTCGACAAGCTGGGCCTTGCCCTGCCGGAGGGCGACGCAGTAGAGGAATACCTCAACGATGGTGGAAAAGAAGGCATTGATGGCTGCGCCGAGCCCCATGGATGACTGAGCTGAGATGGATGCCACCGCTTGACCAATGAAGTAGGCGAGCGGTATGATGGATAGGAGGCCCGAGACGAAAAGAAAGGCGGGAGACGTGAGGAAGTTGTCCATATCCAGGAGCCCATCAAGAACGAGCCAGTCAAAGATGACAAAGCCCACAATGGCCATGAGGTTGATCAAAAAGATGTTGGTTCCATCGATGGTGTATTTCCAGTATTTGAGGCCGACAGCTCGATAGGTACAGAGCAAAATGGAAGATTGGGGTGTCGTAGGGGCGCGGGCGGAGGCGATGTCGGATTCGAAGGACAGAGCCAGGGGGTGGCGCCGTAGATGGGAAAACAGGAGCATGGTGACCTTGCCCATGGGAATCGTGAACACCAAAAACCAGCAAATAGCCGAGACAAGAAAGAGTGATGGCATGATCAGGAAGTAGAAGAAGGCAAAGAAGATGACGCGGCCGACGTTCCACTCTCCGCGCCCGAACAATCTCCGTTTCATGCGAGGAAGATGATCATCAAAGACCTGCCCGCGCCCTCTTCCGAGGAGACTCTCCGTCTCGTCCGGTTCCGAGTCGAGGCTTCGCCGGGACCGTCCGACGATGGAGCGGTTCCTATCTGGCCCGAAGAACAGCCGCCCATACTCCAAATCACCGCTCTGCCATTGTTCGTACTCGCTGATGCTTCGGCCCTCGCCCTCGTCCTCGTCCAGGTAAGCTTCTTGCTGCTCCAGCCCCACAAACTTGCCAAAGGGATAGAAGATGTAACCTGACAGGCCCCAGAGAACCTGGCCATACTCCCGCCCGCCCGGCGCGGCGGCAAAAAGAAAGCAGACAAGTGCACCGGTAAAGGCAATCAGGGCCATCCACCAGCCAAAAGCTAGGGTCCACACAAGGTTGAAGAACAGCAGCCAAGTGCTGACATGGCCGCCGGGTGATGAGTGAATATCGCCTTCGGCGTTCTTTTGCACCGAGCGGCTCTTTTTGTACAGGGCTGGCTTCCAAATTCTGATTCCGAAAGGATGTGTCTGGTTGATGGCCTGCTGGCGGTCTTTGAGAGTGAAGCTCTCGGCGTCGCTGACGTCCCCGTCATCATCAGGTGTCGCGACGTCCGGGTGCTCTATCTCAGGTGCATCTCCGCCGGCCTCCTCCGGCGGGCTACTGCTGTCGACCTGATCGTCTGGGTCGTCGATCTCTTCGCCGGTGGGATCCTCGTCAGCGGCGGAAGAGTGGATCCTTACGAGTGCGGGCGGGGCACCAGCTCGTCTTCGTAGCGTGGTCGTGTAACTCTGCTGGCGCTCCGCGGCGTCAGCTTCGACCTCGGCGATGCCGTCGTCTACTGAGAAAACGCCGCCTCGGTAGGGGGCTTGGGCGCTGGAAGACGCGCGCCGCGTCAGGGGCGGTTTCCGGGGGCGCGATCGCGGGGCTCCTGAGCCGGTTCGTGGCGCGGGAAAATCGGCGGCTGGTGACGGGCCACCATCGGAGCGAGAAGGGACACCAGTGTTTGGACTTTGCATGGCGCCTGCAAAGGAGAAAGTAAGACGTCAGCCAGCTCGTCCTCAAGGACCTTCAAACAACAAGAATAACAATGGGAACAACGGCAACGGAGCCGCGTCCCCAGTGCCAAGGAGACAATGCGGAGAACGCGATCGCCGATACCCACTTTCTGGTCGCCTCCGCACAGCATCGGCGGGCTGGAGGCTGTCGGATGCATTGTCATCATCTTGAATGGTAGAGATGGATTGCGAAGGCCGTCGCGTGCCGGCTGGAGAGGGGTGGGCTGGCGAGTCGCGACCGGGCCCTGAGGAGGATTCCATGATGGACGGGCTCTGAGAAGCGTTGAAAGGGGAGCGAAGTGAAGACTTCTTGCCGATGATCCCGATCGGGATAGGTTGAGCTTAACTAGTCGGGCTTCGTCTCGACCATCAACAACTGCAGACCAGGGCCGTCAAACGCGCGGTTGGTGGGACGGATGCAGCGGGTTTAGGATGGCATGGCAGTCTCGTAGCCCGTAACTGCAAGTGGAAAATGGTTGTAGTTGAAAACCGGGGTAAACAAGGCAGCCGCAAAGAGCTGAGTGGAAAATGGGGTGCGCGTGGTTGATAAGCTAGGCAATCGGACCTAAATGCGACAGCTTCGCACCCGGCAAGACCGACGGGACTGAGCGGATACTAGTACAACAGAACAGCGTCAATATCCCGTCAAAGGAGCCGACCAAGCGAAGCGGTGAAACGAGGAGGGCATCCTTCTCACTTCATTCAATGTTTGCACCACCGCAGTGCTGCAGAGGGATGTGGTTGGGGGTGGGTCGCCAGTGGTCGGATGTGGCACCGTGGAATCTGCGAAACCGCCAACAACGGGATGTGCCGTAGCAATGGTGGCTGCGCCCGACCCTGTGCCCGACCCTGTGAGCCTGCTGCTGTGCTGCGCTTCGGGCGGTCCCTCCAGGCTTCTGCTGATCATCTGCCCAAGTGCGACAGGGCTGTCAGAGGTAACTGACCAACAAACCGGGCAGGCTACCAAGTACGCTGTGTGACATGCCATAAGTCCCTGCACCTCCTGGATTGTAGGCAAGGCATCGACAGACGATTAACACCTCGCATGATAAGACTGACGCATGACACTTAATTATAAATTTGGCCCAGAACGAAGGTGCAGCTTCCCACGCAGTAAGTTATACCTGTATACTTATATATGTACCTAGGTATCTTGCCTCGTAGTTGGTAAAGTAAGGCAGTACACGAATACCACGAGACCAGATCCATTGCTCGGAACCCTCTCGCAAATGACATCATCTGCTCGTGAGCCAAGTGAAGCTGGACCCATTCATTTCCGGATCGCCAAGTCGGTGTGGGGGGAGGTGGGAGGTTGCTGGCGCCAAGTCACGTGCCACGGTTTTGCCCAGAGCAAGTCGAGCCTTGGCGTTGGCGACCAGACGCATTGCGTGGACTTGCGCTGCCTTCAAGCCAAGCCCGTTGACGCCCGTTTTGGATCCGCCCGCATCACATTCCCACGCACAGCACCACCCGACATCGACCTCTGTTACACCTCGCGACGTTGATCTTGCCTAGGCTTTCAGAGCCCCATTTGTCCCGCCAGACTCTTCGCGATACGAGATTCCCGCCAAACCCTCCTTCCTACCGAGCACCCCGCAAAACCCCCACAGCGACGCCACCACCATGGCGCTCGACAACTACTACCACAACAAGATTGAGGCGATGCAACTGGAGATTCTGAAAGGCCAAGCTGTTCTCCGCCGCCTCGAAGCTCAGCGTAATGACTACAACTCGCGGGTACGCCTACTCAGAGAAGAGCTGGGGCTGTTGCAACAACCGGGCTCGTATGTCGGCGAAGTAGTCAAGGTGATGGGCACTAAAAAGGTCCTGGTCAAAGTACATCCCGAGGGGAAATATGGTATGTGCGCCACCCCGTGCCTCTATCCACCGTGGGTTAGGGCCCTCTATTGTCTTGTGCTAATGCGATTCGCCTCCCCGTAGTTGTCGATGTCGCCGACTCGGTCGATGTCTCGAAGCTCACAGTCGGCAAACGGGTGACTTTGCTATCCGACTCGTACAAGCTAGAGAAGATCCTGCCTTCGTCAGTCGACCCGCTCGTCTCCCTCATGATGGTTGAGAAGGTGCCCGATAGCACCTACGACATGATCGGCGGTCTAGATCAGCAAATCAAGGAAATCAAGGAAGTTATCGAGCTCGGTCTCAAGCACCCCGAGCTGTTCGAGTCGCTCGGTATTGCCCAACCCAAAGGTGTGCTGCTCTACGGCCCTCCGGGCACCGGAAAGACCTTGCTGGCCCGTGCCGTGGCTCACCACACCGATTGCAAATTCATCCGTGTATCTGGTTCCGAACTAGTGCAGAAGTACATTGGCGAGGGCAGCCGTATGGTGCGCGAGTTGTTTGTCATGGCGCGCGAACATGCGCCAAGTATCATTTTTATGGACGAGATCGATTCCATCGGGTCGTCCCGCGTCGAAGGCTCATCAGGTGGCGACTCCGAAGTCCAGCGCACCATGTTGGAGCTGCTCAACCAGCTCGACGGGTTCGAGCCGACCAAGAACATCAAGGTCATCATGGCTACAAACAGGCTGGACATTCTAGACCCGGCTCTCCTGCGGCCTGGCCGCATCGACCGCAAGATTGAGTTCCCGCCACCGAGCGTCGAAGCCCGCGCCGACATTCTGCGCATCCATAGTCGCAAGATGAATTTGACGCGCGGTATCAACCTGACCAAGATCGCCGAGAAGATGAACGGCTGCTCCGGCGCCGAGCTCAAGGGTGTGTGTACCGAGGCCGGCATGTATGCCCTGCGGGAGAGGCGCGTGCATGTGACACAGGAGGACTTTGAGCTTGCTACCGCCAAGATCTTGAACAAGCACGACGACAAGGAGGTGTCTCTGGCCAAGCTCTGGCGCTAGTGGTGGGAAGAGGGGATGATATGGTTTAGCCATGGTTCAGATTGCGTAACTGCGCTGCTCCGTCTGTGATGCCGAGCCGTTAGCTGGTGGGTAGCACGCCTTGTACGATACAGGGCAGGGTATAATAAACATTGAAAATGAAGTGGGGGAACATCTCAAAATCTGTCGATCTACGCTTGCTTCTGGCCGTCTTGCCGCGACCGCCCCCTAAACCTGCGCTAGAAAACCATCATGGTATTCACCCAATATCTGACCAACACCTTGAACACACACGTATGAATAATTGATCGGCTAACCTGTCTATTGTTATTGCTATACGCCAGACCGTCATGCATCAAGGTATCCTTGGAGAACTTCCCCTCTTGGTTGGGGTGTGTCCTCTTCGCAAGATAAACCAAAGCAGAGTCCCTCTGCGCAAATCCGCAGACTACGTGCGGAGCTCCGGAGTTCGTCCCAAGCAGTCATCCCAAACCGTGCCATAAGTCCATAACCCTTCTCTAAATGCTCCTTTGCCTCCCAACCACATCCCCGAAAATGAGCCTCACAGACGTTGTCCAGTCGTGATATGAACCTTCAGCGGCGCTTCCTAAAATGCCAGGCTCCCGCTTCGACCTCTCCCTTTTCCGTCGACCCCCCCGTCTCTGTCTTCTTGGAGCCGCCGCGCCCACTCTAACACCGTCTCGTAGCACAACACAAACTGTCGCAGGCTCTGCACCATGCTCAGCCTCTGGCCACGGAAGTCCTCCACAGCCTGCGCAATCAGGTCCACGGTGTCGTCGTCGAGCCAACTCGTGTCAATGCCGAGCGGAGCGTCGGGTTGATTTATCGCTGAAGGATCGGGCCCGGCAGTTCCTTCGTTCATGCTGATATCCCCGTCCGAGTCGGGAAATGCGGGGGCCGGCCGGTCCCGGCCACGGATCGCAGTCGTAGTGGGGCCCATCAGATGCTGCTTCTGACGCTTAAGCATGTCAATGACGCTGTCGACGGTACAGAACGCGCCTGTTCGGCCGCAACCGGCGGAGCAGTGTACCAACAAGGGTCGAGGGTGCTCTTGGGATTCGGGACCCTCGGACCAAGCCAGCGACATGTTATCACTGTCTATCCTCCTAAGACCGGCAGAACTATCTCGACCAGAGTCATGGTCCGCGAAGAACGGATTGCTCGCTGAATCGCTTACGAGGCCGTTGTTCTGCCGCGGCACGGGCGCCGATGTCAAATTCCCCGGTGCGTCACGGGGAGGCACACCGCGCTGCATGATATTTGCTAGCTCGACGAGTGCGAGGAGATGGCTGGGCTGGGCCGGGGCACCGAAATCGGGCCACGATGGGTAGTGGAGTTGTGTAACCTCGCGAATTGGAGAGAAGGGATGCGCGGCGTGGCTGAGAGCGAACGTGCGGACAATGACATGGGGGGTTTCCGTCGCTGCCGCCGCCTGTGGGGGAAACATGAAGTGGTTGGCGGTTTGAGACTCGGTGCCGAGCGTCGTTGTGGTATTCGCACGCCGTCGGGTGGCGTCAGGTGGAAGTGCGTCGGGGGACGAAGTGCTTGCGCTGCCGTCTGTCGTTACCATGGCCGCGGTTGGCGGTGGTTTCCGCTTGTCGATGTCCAGCGAGATCTTCTTCTCGGATAGAACTCGCAACTTTACAGGACCAAAGTCATTGCCTTTCCAGTACGGGTGGCATTTCAACTGGCCCCCCTCCGACTCGGCGGTCAACATGACAATGACGCGCACGTCGTTGTCCCAGACTACAGACCAAAAGTCCTGCACGATCAAGTTAGCTGCCGTTACGGGAAAAGCAACACGCGTTGGGAGCAAGAGCTGCGAATCCTCACCTCGAAGGTCGCCGGCAGTGGACCCTGGCTCGCAATATACCGCTTGTGGCTCCGCTTCGCTTGGAGGTAACTCGCGTTTACATAGTCACAAGTCCCTTCGGGGCGGCCTGTAAGCCTCACTCTTGCGTGCTCAAAAGGCAAGATATCCTTGTATCTGTTCTTCCCCCCCTTTTCGATGCCCGATAGCTGTACTTTAGTCCTGTCATTATGAGTGCCGTTTTGGATATCTGCAGGTCCGACCACCGAGTATGCCTCGCGCATGCGTGATTGTTCTGTGCGTTCGATGCGCAGAAATTTATCCGAGACTTTTTTCCCATGGTCCCCAGACTCGGCCGCGTCTCGAAGCCACCGCGGCAGGTTGGAAAGAGTGAGGCCTGCTGGGACACCAATGTCTATTTGACCGACGCCATCGACCAAATCCTGGTTCTGGCGGATGTTGTTGAAGAATGGGCTCGGGTTGTGGCTCGCATTGGGCAACACCACACCGCCAATGACTGGTGGTAGATTAGCACGTAGGCCGCCAGACACTGGGCCAGATCCGAGTGACAAGCCTGGCGATGGCCCACCCGAGGAACGATCGATCAGGGCCGGGTATGATGCTGCGAATGCGTTGAAGCCCCCGCGCAGGATGCCTACGGGGCCCGAGTAGCCCTCGTTAGTGAACTTTTTGATCATATTTATGGCGGAAACGGCGTCCCGCTTGTCGGATGAAGAGGCGTCATAGACAACAAGATGGCTTGCATCACGCCAGCTGGAGAATTTTTCCTGGTCCTGGTCCGCCTGAAAAGTTTGCTGGAGCTTTTGCAGGTTGAAGGTTGCCCGTTTCAGCAACGTCGTCGGGATGCACAGGTTCAACGCCCCGCGCACCCTAGATTGCGCAAACTGAGGCGAGACTCTAAGATCTAGCAGCAAGAGTTTCGCGTCCTGGTCCTCCAACATGTCCTTGAGTTCCGTGGGAGATATTAAAGCAGGGCCACTAGTTCCCTGCGTCTGGGGCGCCGCGACGACGCCGTTTTGACTGGACGAGCCGGGGGACAACGAGACCGCCTTACCGCGGGGTATAGGCTGCAGCGACGGCTGGTCATTCGTATGGGATGTGGGGTGGCTGGTGCCTGCTCGGTCAGGGTTTGAGAACGGCGATGGTAGTTTAGGGGGGGAAATCTCGTGCCTGCCCATGTTCGGAAAGAAAGGCGGGTTCAGCGAAACAGCGGAGCTGCGCTTGGAGTCTGCAGATACATACGCAGAGTCTTCTTGGAGGCTATGGGCGTCCTTGTCAAACTTGGTGCCAGGGACGTCTCCAGAGCTAAAGGACCCGGTGGCGATACGAGGCCGCGGAAACGGGATATCCGAGCTATCGCCCCCTTGGGTGTGCCATCTTGGAGGCCGTGGCCGCTGCAGGGCAGACGGCGTCGAGGCCGGCGGGGTGTGTGCGCCTCCCGTTGAAATATTGAAGTGGGAAGTCGATAAACTGAAGCCGGTCCTGGCGCGGTTTGCATCGATTTGCCTTCGGAAGGCCTCAAACTCGGGGTTCGCATCCAAGGGAAGCTGCTTGGGGATCGCTGCGGAGAACGACTTAACCGAAGATGACGGCGAACTCCAGTTCTCGCGGGGCACCAAACACGAATCACGCGGGTCGGCGGCGGGGTCGGCAGCCAGTCCGAAGTAGTTTGGACTCGAGCTTCGGGCATCTTGGACGGCGCCTCGGGCGGCTCCGGGAGAAAGCTTGGGTGGGTGCGGCTGGCCAGGCGGAGGCCGCGGGGAAGGCATGGGGGAAACTGTAGGCTTGCTGTTGTTGATGTACGACTGTGAATTGGACCGGGAATGGGAGAGCCCCTGGGGGCTCACTGCGGACACCGGCGCTGGTGTCGTCATTGTATAATAGGAGGGCCGGTCGGTCGCTCGGTGGTCGGAAGGCATAGTGGCTGTATCAATGGCGGCGGCGGAATCGAGGGGGGGATGTAGCAGCGCGTTCAGCAACCACGAGCTCCAGTGTTAAGCCGGCGTGGTGATCGCAGGAGTAGTGTGCTGAGCGCAGCCCGTCATGAAGCCGCCATGTTGAGTCCAGTATCGGAAGGTTGGAAAGCGGTGTTGGTTGGGTACGAGGGTCCCGAATTCGTCTCGCTGCACACAACACCTGGTGGTTTCTAGCGTCTGAGGATGTCGTGAAGGGAATGGGGGAGGTGCTGTTTGTTGGCTCATCAACGTCAACAGCGTCTTCGTGCGAGGTGTCAGATATAGACAGCTTTTTCCCAGCAGACGACGCTTTGGGGCTTTATTTGACTGCCGTCTTTGGAAACGATTGCAGAGCCGGCTCGTGTGGGGTTTGTTCTTCAAGCTGGGTGGAGCAGGGAAGAGAGACCCTGGTCTGTGATTGTTGGTCGCCTCGCTGAGTTGCCGCGGGGTCGGTTGAATAACGGCAAGGGACACCTGCAGTTGAACCTCTCAAACCAACAACTTTGGGGGGCCGCAATTCGCAGATCAGGTCTGCCGTCAATGAACTCTGGTTGTTGGAGAAGAAGCAGAAAGCGAGTTTCAGGAACAAGGAAAGGCAGGGGGGGCAGACGGAACGGTGTGGACACGAGGTTAGGGCAATTGGGATGGTGGGGGTTCCGAAGAGCTGAAAGTCGGACGATCAGCAGCACAGTGGTTAGAAACGGTGACAAGACCGGTCTGGGAAAGTGTACCAGGTACGGTACTTCAGGGGCCGTGCCTTGTTGATGGGAAATTACCTTAACTCTTGTATAAAGCTGCTCGAACTCCATCCTCGCCGACAGGACGTTCGTGCCTTCCAGATCCATGACAGTGGCGGGAATCACGGCAAACATACAATTGGGAAAGGAACCGAGCCCCTGTCGCATGGAGGAATCTCTGAAGGAACCGCGAAAATAGGGGCAGCGATGCGCAAGGTTGATGTCAAGTTACGCAGGGGAGCGGGTTCCTCAAAGATTCCAGGCCCCCCGAGGAGGGGAATGATCTGCTCATCTCGAAATGGCAACTTCTGACTGTTGGCCCACAGTGACCTCACCGACGACGGGCTCACTAAGTTACGTACAATATTCCTTCATATTTATGGTCAGTCATTCGCATACCGACAAGACTACAAAGTCGCAAGTTATAGTCGAAGGCGAGGGCAGGTCGCGTGTGTATTCGAAAAATCTCCAGGAGGATACTTCGTCATTGAACGCGAACCAGGCCCCTCGGCATGGATCGGGCTGCGACAATGGCATCGCTCTTCAATCCATCAGAAACGAGTCAGACGACGGGTACAAGTGGGGCAGCCCTTGCATCTTGTGTCAGCGGTGTCGTCATTGCGTGCGCCAAGTTCGCCGTTACCGCTTCAAAAAAGTTCAACATGCGTCCACGCACACACACACACACAACATATCGCGAACTACCATGTACATACCCTGAGATACACCTGCTTCTGGCATATAAACCCGTGGTGTTTGAGGCATTCGGTACGCACACATGCCAAGGTACATCTGTATCATGCTTACCTACCAGGTACCTGACACTGGAGGTAGGTATATCAACATTTGTATTCGTATCTCAGGCTCTGTTCTCACAAATCAAGGGGGCGCATTTTCTTGGCGGAAGGAACACGCTACTCCTTTAAGGAGTCCCAAGAAGATTGTGTGTCACGAGACTCTATAAGTACCGAACGACCACCGGCAGAAAGAAGCTGCAAAGTCGATATACTTCCGATACTGTTCATCCCACAGAAAGCAAGGATCCCACCATGCCGGAAGACCTTGATCTTGGAACATTGGGAGTTCGAGACCCGAAAAGACCGTCTCATCGCGCATGCACCTCATATTGTATTGAGATTCTCGTTCATCGGTTGGTCCGTTCTTCTCCTTGATCGGTTTCGGGGCCCACACACCATCTTGCGATCCACTTTGTGCTCCTTGCACACAAAGCAGAAGAAGCCCAACGCAAGTCGATCTCGGAACATAAACCCCGATAAAGTTGCCACAGCGACTCTTGATCCGCACGCCCAAGCATTCATCGTGACTGGTAGGCGCCCGATACCGCTGGTTTGGCTAATATCCGTGTGAATCACGCTGTCTTCTCAAGCGCAGGATTAGTTCTTCTAGCTACTAGTTACCACTCACAAATATCTTGGTCCATATACCCGCATGCCGTGTAGCCAGCTTCCACGGTGAGAAGAGGAGCGCTCGTCAACCCAAGGGGGAAGACCAGAATCTGAAGGGGAGCTACACCCCAGAAAACAAAGACACAACGCAGCCAAGAATGGAGTAAAACTGTCGCCTCACTGCAAATATACCCGGGCCACCCTGACAAACAAGCCAGATGAGCCGTCCAGACGCCGTGTGGTGCATAACCGTGCTATGTCGGCAGGGATCGCATGATGGCGGGTTTAGGCTCGCCAGGCCAGCGGCCGTCGGGTTAACCACGAGGCCGACAAACTAACTTCCTTCGCTATAACCGGATGTAAAGGTCCAGGCAGTCGATCCGCCATTCCCTACGCCCAACAAGACTCCGCAGCCATTCCAGCCCGAGCCCTGTCCACTCAACCCTCGTCCGCGCAATCTGCTCTGTGGCAGCGGTCGCCAATGCCCCAGCTGTCGTGTTGAACATCTCAGCAACCACAGCGGAGACGGTGGCATTCACGTCTTCTCCCGCCGCGGGGCCGGTCGCCGCTTCAGCTTTCCACCAAGAAACGGGCAGGTATATGTAGCTTCCGGCGGGGCGTGGCTGGAACCAGTTGCTGCTGAGGTCGAGGAAACATCGGTCTGACCAGTTGCAAGATGTCAGGAAGAGAATGAGGAGGAGGAACGAGCAGTAAAAGCACGGCCGGTTGAGGAAATAGGTGCACAGGAAGAAGAGGAAGATGAAGGATGGCGACGCATTGGTCGGTATGAAGAGGAGTGGAAGCCAACTGCGAGGACATGATCAGTTAGTATCTATTCACCATCGCCGTCGGCTGTCATTGGGCAAAGAACAATGGCCCTTACCTGCGAAGGCAGAACATGATAAATCGCTGGAGTTCGGAGGCTCGAGCCGAACAAGGCTCATACAATATCAAGAGCAGTCAATCAACTGAGACGACCAACTGAGACGTGGTCGGAACCGTCGGTTTGCGAATCGGTTTCGCCTCGTGAAGTGCGTAGAAAATGGTGCCGTCGTCTAGTAGGCACCGTGTACGGATAAGCCAGAGGAATCCCAGATGCCGGACGCGTGCTCGCTCTGCGGTGGAGGATTGAATTGAGGTTGATTGCCTGCCCAGGGACAAGATAACTGCGAGCCTCGTTTTGGATGTGGCGGGCTTGGCGTCATTTTTGACTGAGGAGCTTACCTAAGGGAACTAACGTAGTTAACGTAATCCATCACCTTCTGGGACACACCACCTTGTGGGACAGCTTTCTGCCCCACACCCCACCACGTCGACTTCGGACGCACTCCACTACGCCATTGTGCCCGGCAAAATGCCAAAGCCTCTACAGCACGAAGATAGAATCCAATTAGCACTCGAGGCCTTACGTTCAGGCCAAATCAAAATCATTCGCAACGCTGCGGATGCGTTTGGTGTACCGAAGTCCACTCTCCACAGACGCGTCAAGGGGGGCGGTACGCGTCAAGAAGCTCAAGTCAAGAACCGAAAGCTACGCCCAACTGAAGAAGCAGCCTTGATTCAATGGATCGAGTCATTGGACGACCGTGGGATGTCGCCGACGATCGGTTATATCCGACAGATGGCTGACCTTCTTCTCCGCGAGCGTGGAGGCTTCACTCTACTCGACGCGTCTCTTACATCCACCCCGGTCCCGGCAATGACTGTTGGTGAGAACTGGGTCCAGCGGCTTCTTCATCGGCATCCCCATCTGGAGACGAAGTATTCTAGAAAGTACGACTATCAACGGGCCTTAGGCGAGGATCCAGAGAAGATTTCAGCGTGGTTTGCACGAGTGCAAAGGACCATCAACGAATACGGTGTTCTTGACAGCGACATCTACAACTTTGACGAAATTGGTTTCCAGATGGGTGTTGCAAGCACGTCTAAAGTGGTCACTCGATCTGACCGACGGAATCGACCTGTTGTTATCCAGCCGGGAAATCGAGAGTGGACAACTGTCATTGAGTGCATCAACGCGACAGGTTGGAGTGTTGATCCAATGATCATCTTCGAAGGAAAAGTCCACATCTCGTCATGGTACGACAGCTCAGCACTGCCAAAGACGTGGCGGATTGGAGTCAGCGATAACGGCTGGACAACCGATGAGCTTACCTTTGCGTGGCTTCGAGAAGTCTTCGAGCCACAGACGCGAAACCGGACTGTTGGTCGATATCGGCTTCTCATTCTCGATGGTCATGGAAGCCATTCGACGCCTGAATTCGACAAATTCTGTACTGAGCATCGGATCCTTACAGAGTGTATGCCTTCGCACTCGTCGCACTACCTCCAGCCCCTTGACGTTAGCTGTTTCGCTGTGCTTAAGCGGACGTACGGCGACCTTGTCAAAGCGAAGATAGCACTCGGGGTTCATCACATTGACAAACCGCGATTCCTCGAACTGTTTCTCGAAGCTCGGAAAACGACATTCAATACAAAGAACATCGCAAGCGGCTTTAGAGCTGCAGGGCTCTTGCCTTTCGATCCAACTCAGGTTCTTTGTCGGCTACAAACCAGGATACGGACACTGAGTCCCCCTCCTACCCCTATCCAACCGCCCAAGTCTGCCTCTCAAAACGCCAGGAAACATCGTCGAACTTGACTCTCTCCAAAGGAAACACCAGAGAGAGATAAGCCCAACAGATCAGGCGCTTCAGAAAATCATCAAGGGCTGCCAGATGGCGATGCACAATGCTACTCTTTTGCAGGAAGAGAACTCGCGACTTCGAGCTGAAAATGGTCGACAAAAGAGAAAGCGGGCACGCCGAGCTTTCATTCAAACAGGAGGGACTATGACGATTGGAGAAGGGATGACACACATCGAGGCCTCCCAGAATGCTCGTCAGAAGGGTCAAGGAAGCCAGGAAGCTCGTCGAGAGGTCGAAGAAGGAGAGGTGGGGCCATCGGACACGACTGCGCCAAAGGCACGAAAGCGTGCGCAGCCGAAGTGCAGTGTTTGTGGCTCAATCGAGCACAACGCCAGAAAATGCCCTTGTAAATAAGGGCTCGAATTATGTAGAATGCATTCCGAATAGACTCTCTTTTGTGTTGTGAGGTGCGTCCGAAGTCGACGTGGTGGGGTGTGGGGCAGAAAAGTGTCCCACAAGGTGGTGTGTCCCAGAAGGTGATAGATTACGTTAGTTAACTAGTTAGTTAACGTATTTAATTGGACACCTTCAGAACCAGGACACCTTCAGAACCAATTTTCCGCCCCGCCCCCCCCCACGTCGACTTCGAATGCATGTTGCAACACAACAACGGATCTATTGTAGTAGCAATCTATATCAATCTGTTCGCTATTTACAGGGGCAAGTCCTGGCAGTATGCTCAGTTGAATTACAGAGACTGCACCTTGGTGGTGCGCGTTTTCGTACGGTTGGTTCAACCGCTTCGACAGCTGTTACCTCCCCCTCTTGATCCTCCACACGAGCTTCCTGGGCCTTTGGTACCTTTGGGGCCTTCTGATGCTCTGAGGTGGCCACTCCCTCTCCAATTGTCATAGAACCTCCTGTTTGGATGAATGGTCGACGGTGTTGACGTCGCTGCTTTTGTCGAGTGTTCTCGGCTCGGAGCCGCGAGTTCTCTTCTTGTAAGAGAGTAGCGTTATGCATGGCCATCTGACACCCTTTGATAATCTTTTGCAGATTCCTATCTGTTGGGCTTGTTGCATTTGTACGCTGCCTCAACTCCGGTGTCATATGGCTCCCGTGGCCATCGAGAATCAAGAGGCGGTACCGGCCAACTGTTCGGCTTCGAGTTTGCGGCTCAAACACTTGCTGAAGCCACTCGAGTGTAAGCTCATCGGTCGTCCAGCCGTTCTCACTAACTGCAATCCTCCAAGTAGGTGGCAATGGTGAATCTTGGTACCATGTCGAGATATGAACTTTGCCCTCGAAGATGATCATTAGGTCAAGAACCCAGCCAGTGGTGTTGATGCACTCAATGGCAGGTGCCCACTCCCGATTCCCAGGCTGAACAACAACAGGTCGATTTCACCGATCAGATCAGTGACAACCTTTGCTGTGCTTGCCACTCCCATTTGGAACCCAGTCTCATCGAGGTTGTAGATATCGCAATCGAGGATACCGTTTGACTGGATAGTGTTTTGTACTCGTTGAAGCCACTCCAACACTTTCTCAGGGTCCTCACACAAGGCTCGTTGGTAGTCGTACTTCCGGAGGTATCTTGACTTCAAATCCAGGTGTCAGTTCAAGAATCGGCGTGCCCATTTCTCTCCAACAGTGTTCATCTCGTCAGCCACTGCTGTAACTGACGCGTCAAGCAAGACCAGGCTTCCACGCTCACGGAGAAGAAGGTCGGCCATCTGTCGAATATACCCGATCGTTGGCGACATGCCCCGGTCATCTAGTGACTTGATCCACTGACCAATGCAGCTTCTTCCGTTTCTCGAAGTTTTCGATAAGAAATTTGAGATTGTTGACGGGGGACGCGTCCAGCAACGCGTCCCCGTAAGGTCGCGTACGGCACGTCAAAGGCATTTTACCGAGGTGGGACTGTGGGTGCGCGAGTCCAAAGTCGACGTGGTGGGGTGCGGGGCGGAAAATTGGTTCTGAAGGTGTCCTGGTTCTGAAGGTGTCCGATTACGTTAACTAACTAACTAACTACCTTCCCTTGGCACATCGCCCAGCAAGCAGACGCTGTCTCGCATCTCACGCCCGGATATATCCGTCGTCTTCGTGCTTAGGTTGTTCGGAAATTCTCCGTCTGTCTCCAAAATGGGCTCCATCCAGTAAGTGAATAAATAGTACTTAATGAAGAGAAAAGGTCGCATGTTAACAACCTACCTATGTTGTCTCATTTACAAATCTACTGTGTACTTCGTCGAGAACTTTGGACCAGGCTCTTAACGCGGGGCATGCAGGTCGACAACACATCGCCTGGCACCCCCGTCTCTTGGCGAACCCCGCGACTTCGCACCGTCTCAGTCCCAAACCTGGGCTGAGTTCGCATGTCTCCGCTTGCCTTTTTATTCGTACCTCCATCCCCTTCATCCAAATGCTGTCGCCAGTGAGGTGGTGATAAAAATTGGAACGAGAAAAAGAGAGCCCTGTGTTTGTGGTCGCATGCAATTTTGCAACGCCTCGGTTTCTCGTGAGCCTCCCATTGGGCCTAACCCGCCCTCTCCCCACGCCCTGCCGGGGTCTGCCACGCGCCACAGCGACGGACACGTGTAGCCGCTAAGGCCTGTGCACGGACCATGCAATGCTCCCAGCCGCCTCGGCCATACTGCAATATAATTTTCTGAAGCACTCAACCACCCACGCAACAAGCAAACAATTGAACCAGCGCCCTCCCTCGGCAACACCGCTGCTTTTGTGCAGAACCTGCGGTTGTCTCTGCCAAACGCAGCAGCGCCGCTGGACGTGTCGTTGTTGTTGATTTTTTTTGCCTTACGAAGACTCCCTACCGATCCACTGTTGAGTGGTGGATAGTGGATATTCTGCACTGCAACTGCTTGTTTCTGCATTTTCGGGTCGACCCTTACGCATCATCGCCCATCGGGCAACCGCGAAACCAACGGTGCTGCCAGCTACTGCGCTCCTGAACATTGCGATTCACCATCAGTGACTCGCGCCGTCCTACAGTGATTTGAAACCACAATCGCGACCACGACCGTCACCATGTCTAACTATGGCATGCCTGGCGGCGGCGGCGCTGCTGGTGCTGGTGCTGGCGACTCTGACGCAAACCCAAAGTTTGAATCGCTGCTCGCGCAGCTCCGCCTCCAGTCCTCGCCCAGTCCCGGCCCGACCGCAGGTTCTGCGCCCGAATATTCTGGTCCGTTCAACTACCACCACGGCAACCAGCCCTTCTACGGCCATCACTCCAACTCCGACTCGCCCAACCTACCGAACCATGCTCAGAGCGCCATGGATTCGCCCGCGTTTCTGCCCGAAGCTCCCACACCGCCCGCCGGTTTTGGCCATTCCCAGTTTCCTCCGGGCATGATGAATCAGATGGGTGCCGCTCGCGGCGGCGGAGCGGTGGGCGGAGATGGCCGGACCACGCATTTGTTGAACCTACTCAAGTTCAGCGGTCAGAGTGGCTCTACGAACCCTCACCAGCCGTCATCCCGAGAGCCTTCAATGAATTTTGCGCCGCTGCCAGCCACAACCAATGTCATCCACGCGCCCGCTCCGGCCGCCGCCGATCCCACAGGCTTGCTCGCCGCCCTTATGAAGGGTAACCTACAGCCCGATTCCGGCAAGCCCGAGCCCAGCCCGCCGTCCTGGAACCAGACCGAGCCTCCGTCAGGCACGCAGCAATATCTTCTCAATCTCCTTAACCGGCCAAAACCCAGCCAGCACGATGGAGCGGACCCGACAGAAGCCGACTTGCTGACCCCGCCCCCTGCTACCGATGACCTAAAGGACAACGAGAGTTCGCACGGTGGCCGCTCCGCCGAGCCGACCCTTGTGGGCACCTTGGCCTCGCGTTCCGAGTTCGATTTTGAGCCTAAAAGCACCGAATCTCCGCCTCCCAAATTTGATTCGACCCCGCATTCCCAGCACTCGCAGCAGTCCAGCTCGAGGCAGCACGGTATCCTTGGCTACTCGGATCATTTCGACCGCCTCTCAGCGTCGTCCCCGATCCATCGGACACCGAAGTCTTCGACCACACCCGGAGCTTCTGGTTCGGCTGTCGGCGGCGGCCACCCGGCGCCTGCTCCGACTCAAATCCTCAAGAGCCAGGATCCGATTCAATCATCGTCGCATGAACAGAAGCGTCCACCCAGCGACCGCGGCGTAATCGACAGCCCCGAGCACAACAGGCGCAAACTTGAGCACCCCGTCTCCCCACTGTCGCAGACCCACGCCACCTGGCCCACCGGAAACACCGTGTCGCCCCCATCAAACCTCGCCGGGCCTTCGCCCCATGCAGCTCCCAGTATCGGTCGGGACCCCGGCGAAGAGAAGAAGGAGAGTGTGACGGACGCCGTCGGCGGGCTTGCCGAGCAGGCCGACCGAGAAGCCAGGGAGGCGTTGGCCCGGGCTGAACAAGAGCAGGTTGAGTTTGACACGACCCATAACCCAGAGCACACGGCGAGCGGTGGAAATGGGGAAGGGTCCTCCCACTCGGCTCAAACCGCCTCCCTAGCTGCCAATAAGGAGCGCGCTGAGGAGGAGGATAAGGCCTTCCTCGACTCCTCACTGGCGCAAGACTTTGCCCAGGAATCCAGGGACAGCGGGGATGACACAGCACCAGCAACTCAGGGCGCCGTCGCAGATAGCTGGGAGAGCGCCGAGGCCGAAGAGATCGTGGTGATCGAGGAGACGGCCGCCCCTGTGAAGGTGTACAACTTCCCCATGAAGCCCTGGATTACCATCAGCCTGCAAGAGATCGACGAGTCTCGCCCGGTGTTCCGCGAAGAGGCTATCCTCGACATCGCGCGCCTCAAGAAAGAATTTGATCAAATTGACCGCAACCTGGTCTCAGCCTCCGAGACCTACATGGCCTATGGTATGTCCAAGGCTGGCGGTCTACGGATAATCAGACAAGAGGACGGCAAAGATGCCAAGCTCTTCACCGACACCAAAGATCGTATCTTCAATGTTGCCATCTCGACATCAGCCTCCCACCACCACCCGAAGGAGGCTATCATCGGCACCGGCGTCAGCGGAACGGTATACTGGGTCCAGCTCAAAAACGGCGACCGGGACCACCTAGAGGATGCGCACCCGGAGCAATATGGCTTTGCACTTCCTCCGATCTCGGCTCAGGAGGGTGGCGATGCTCCTGGCGGCGTTCTCAAGACACGCGCTCGGCCCTCTGCCATGCACCCCGACTTTTTCGCCGTTGGCAGGGGCAAATCAATCAACATCATCTGGCCGGCTTTTGTGTTTGAGAACGACCTCTTTAAGAACGGGCACGACCGCGTTGTCGATACCGAGAAGCTCCTGAAGCAATGTTCGCTGAAGATCAACACCGGTAAGGCTGGTAAGGACTTCACCTTCAGCCAGGACGATACCCTCGTTGTCTCGTTAGACAAGTCCGGGCGGGTCAAGTTCTGGGATGTCCGCGACTTAACCGCCACCAAGGAGGGCTCGGACCCTCTGCACCCAATGCCGGCGCGGACATCGCTGGAGATCAAGGAGCCGCTCATGACCCTGACTACCACACCCGAGGGTGAAAAAGCGTGGCCTACGTCAGTGTTGCTGCTGGATAAGTTCCGACCGTACCAGAAGCGTGCCGCCTTGAGGTACATGATTGTGGGCATGAAGCAGAACCACACCCTCCAGCTTTGGGATCTCGCGCTAGGCAAGCCAGTGCAGGAGTTCAACTTCCCGCACAACAAAGAGTCCGACGCTGTATGCAGCGTGATGTACCATGCACCTTCCAGCATGATTATCGTCGGGCATCCTACCCGCAACTCGGTTTACTTCCTCCATCTCTCGGCTCCCAAATACTCGCTGAAGAACCTATCCCAAGTCGACTACATCCAGCGACTCGTCGCTCAGGATTCGTCAATCCCGCAACCTGAGTCAACTGCCGTTATTAGTGGTATTCGGGAGTACTCATTTGCCAACAAGGGCGTGCTTCGCAGCCTCAACATCCTCGAAAACCCCGCAGCCTCCGGCGATGGGGACGAGCCAACTCTCTTCGAGCTGTATGCCATGCATTCCAAGGGTGTCACTTGCTTGTTCATCAAGCAGTCTGAGCTGGGTTGGACGAAGGATAACAAGGTACTTGCTTCCGCCGATGCTGTGGAAACTGGTCTGGCCAAGATCTCAAAGCTGGTGGCCCCGCCTCCGCCCCAAGCCGCTGAGGCGCCGCACACCAGCATGCCTGGCGATGCTATCGCAACCCCGCAGATTCGGATTGCCACACGCGGTGCTAAGGACGTCGTGCCTAAGATCACGTCGCCCCAAGTCGACGAGAAAAAGGGCTCAGAGTCCATGACTCCGCCGAAGTTTGAGCGAAAGGACGAGGTTGAAACACCCGGGCCTGCCCCAGAGAAGAATGAAAAGAAAGGCCGAAGGAAGAAGCCCACAGCCGCCGCCGCCGCAGCGGCGGCTGGCGACCACCAGGCTTCAAATGGCACTGTAGAGATCAATAGGGCGATTGCTCAAACCAAGGGCAACAAACCTGGCCGCCATGCCGATGCGACTTCAGAGGCAACATCAAGCAAACCCTCTGCCGATCTCTCATTCACTTCCAATACAGCATTCCAGGAGCAACTTGACGCTGTGGTTGGCAAAATGGAGTCGCGCATTGTTTCCAACCTCTCAGGGCGCTTCGACGCTGTCTTCAACGAGATCATGAAGCAAATACAAAGTTTTCAGGACAACCGCGACTCGGCTTTCGCCAGCAGTCAGTCGGCGTTGCTGCAGATGGTCGCAGACGTCCTCAATGACAACACCGAGGCGGTCCTAAAGAACCTGATCATCACCCAGATCAACAACAGCGTCATCCCATCCGTCCAAAGCACTATCGACAACTCGGTTTCCGAGCAGCTGAGAACCAACTCAACTGCCCAAGTCAATGCTGTGCAAAGGGAAATCCAAAGCCTCCTTCCTAACGCTGTTAACCAGGCCATGCTGAAGCCTGACTTCATCAAGCCAGTTTCGGACAAGGTCTCGCACAACGTCAATGCCCAAGTGGAAAACCAAATTGCCAAGTCGCTCAGTACCCTCACGCCTGCCATTGCCAATGCAACGGCGCAAACTGTACATCAGCGCATTGTTGAGGACGTCGGTAGCCGGATTAGCGATGCTTTTGAGCAACTCGACGAACGCCGCCGCAATGAAGATGCCAAGCTCGACCGGCTCATTGCCCAGACGGAGGACCTTTCCAGTGCAATCTCGTCCTTGGCCGCGTCTCAGACGCAGATGCAGCAGGAGCTCGCCGCTCTAAAGCAACAGATGCACGACCAAAGCCGTGAGAGGTCCTCGGCAGCCGAAGAACACGTGCGCGGCCACGCCCATTCGCACAGTGCCGCTGGCTCCCACGGCCTGGCCAGCGGCGGTTCTCGGGAATTGGTCAACTACCCGTCCCAGCACCAGCAGCACCAGCCGCATCAGCAACAACATCAGTCTCCCGCGCACCAACAGCCAGTACAAGGCCCGTACTCGCACCAACAACACCACCAGCACCAGCACCAGCACCAGCACCAGCACCAATTTGGCAACCAGGAGGGACAGGTTGTCTTCGCGCCGCTCAGCCGGGAAGAGCGCCAGAAACTAGAGCTCGACAACCTGGTTGAGACAATTGACGGTCTGATGCGATCTTCCAACTACGACGAGGCAATGCTGCGCTGGCTGCAGTCCGGTGACAAGGCGGAAGAGATTTTCCAACAGGTGCTCTCTAGCTACAACCCGATCTTCGTCCAGGATCTCCAGCCTCTTCTCTTGCTCTCCGTCGGCGCCACCGTCTCGGTTGATCTGAGCCGCAACTCACAAAAGCTGATGAAGAAAGTCAATCTCTTGGAGGTCGTAGTCTATGCATTCAATCAGAATCTAGGGACCTTGGTACGTTTTTTTTCCTTTCTCTTCGCCTTTTTCTGCCCGTAATAACCGTATTCTCGTATTGCAGGATGATCAAGTACGGGAGGTCACACCCAAGATCATGACCCTCCTGAAGACGCGGATTGAGCAGCTCTTCCTCGAGATCAGCCGTATCGCGCCGCACGATCCAGCTCTTAAGACGCTCTCCAACATGAGTCAGGTAGCCGGGCGCGTTGCCGAGAACGTGCAAATGCGCCACGGCCCTATGCACGCGCCTGGTCACATGGGCGCTCCGTACTAAATAACGATGACCACTTGGTGGTAATAGGCAGTATGCCTCTTGGGTTGATCACGGTGGCTAGTATTGGTTGATACCCCCGGGCGAGCGCGGCAGCTCTCGGGTAGCAGCGTGGGACATGGGTCAGGGTGGTTATTTCGTTACGTAGGCGGTTCGCTTTTTTCTCTTCGGTGTTTCTAGGCCGCCAATTGCGGTCTCGCGCGCATCTGATAACTGCACCCCGAAAGGAGCACAGAGACTACCCATCATCTTGCTTCTAGGTTGGTGATCCGGGCTTCTCGCATCACGGTGGGGGGTTTGAGGATTTGGTACGCTATGATTTCTCGTTTATGTACAAATACACTATGCCTTGATTTCGAGAGACCACGCCCGGTCCAGTGATTTCAATGTTGACTTGGTCGGCTTGCACTATTAGAGTAGACCTCTACACTCCAGGCCAGTGGAGTGCTAAGAACGCCCGTTCGAATTGGTGCCTCCGTCGTTTCAGTCTCTCACACTGTTATCCTCGCCCAATCTGAACCGAGATGAAGGAAAGTTGAAAGGTGTACTCTCGCCGCTGTCGCCAACTTATTTCGGCCCCCTCCCCAGAGGTGTAAGATTCCTGGGCATTACAACCCGGGACGCTCTCGAGCTTCGTTTAGGCTTCATAGTAGGCCAGTTTGAAGTCGGTGCGTCAACAGTGGACCAGGGCGATGATCAAGCTTCCCGACAATTAGACTCCATGGTAAGAACTGCTGCGGCTGACAGCAAGTGGAGCTAGGTAGGTCGTAATGGGTTACGGTTTTGAACTTGGGGAGACCTAGACACGATCTAGAGTAGGGAGCGTCTATATGACCTCGCCATGACTACTAGGTCGACTACCCTCCGTAGCAGTCCAATAACGTAGAGCAGGCCCAGGTGGTCACTAATGTTTTCAAAGCGAAGGAGCCAGAAAAAAAAACACCCTAATCTCTAACCACCTTCATCCGTACCGCCGTAACATGGTTATAATACAAGATCTGTTCTTGCTGGCTATCCTCGCCGAGCTGCCGGTGCCATCTCGCGTCTCGCGACACGGCTGCAGTTGGACGTACAGAAACGCAACGCCAGCGGCCGTGTGCTCATCTGGCCGCCGTGTATCACACTCATCATCACCTGGGGATCCCACGAGGGACATGCATGTAGATGACCCATACTCCGAGCGGAATCAGGGAGTGCCGGGTCGGGGGCGGTGCCACGGCCAGGCCAAAGAGCCCCGACTCGCGCTCAAGTTGCCCCTAGCTGAGGGATAACCCGCGAGATGGTATTTGATGCTTACTGCCATCTAGTGGATAACTAACAACAAAAGGGTCTCGTCGTATTCCGTTCAAAACCACTGTAATGGAATATTGCGCTCTGTGGAAGACACGGGGCTATACGAGGCGTTACCTATCGTTGATGGGAGTATGTAAGCGCCTCGGTTATGGCAGAGCCTCAAGATCTCAGTTAACGGTTAGGTAGTGATAAAGCAAGGCCTGGTTATGCTATTCCGCAGGCCACCGGGGATAGGCAAAAGCCATGGCAGACCGTATAGGGCATACGGTCTTTTACAGACCGAGGACCTGGGCACCAAGACACGTGCTGGAAACCAACATCGTGATGCGGTTCATGAAACCAACGGCCATATAGGTGCGGTAACCCAAAGCTGACGTGTGGAATGAGCTTAGGTCAACCCGATCTTTCCCCAGAGCTCGAATATTTCCGCGGCATCATCTTCCTAGCCGGCGACCGCCCTAGATCAACATCATCGACCCTTCCTTCCGCTGCCGCGTCACCCTACATCTGGTTTTCTCTGGCTCTATCCTCTGAGCGTGAATACCTCGATGGAGCAGAGTTTCTGTAGCAATCATCACCTCATTACCAGTCACGCTATTGCCGCCAAAGAGGGTTATAGCAACTGTAGTGGCGACTTGGCTGATATGGAAGGTAAAAAGCTCGCAGCTGGTCAACTCAACGGCTGCGAGACCAATACGGCCGTGAAGATAGCCAGAATATGGTACGATTACAAAGGGGTATATCGAGCGGCGGTGGATTATGTTTGAATTACACTACAGATTTGATGGAACCAAGGAGACGGGGTTGCCACATGCTCCCTTGTTTCGCTCGTGCGGAGGAACTCGACACGCCTAACCAGCACACGGCCCACTCTTTTGCTTCCCATGGACTTCTGACTTGATTGGTAGGTAGGCAACCAGGGAGGGCGAGCCCTCGTGGCTCCAAGGCCGGCCGCTAGCGGTTTGACTGTCCCGTCGTGCGGCAATCAGTCCAGGTAAATCTTTTCGATTTGTTGGAGAGCTGGACGCCAGGAGCAGATCATGCCACTTGGGTTCGGCTGGGTACCGAATGTCGAAAACAACGGTGACGAAGCGTTCCCCCAATCAGGGTGGTTTGTAAGGGCCGCTACTGCAGAGCATGCCACACCTCATGGTCAATACGAGGGTGTGGCTTTCTCAAGGCTCTTGGCGGTCACGGAAGCGGCTCTCTCGCACGACATGAGCAATATTGCTGGGTTCATTATCCAACTATAAGACTTCCGCCCCGACTACCGTCCCGAATAAGCCGCTCTCCTCTTAGTACTGATATCTCGGACACTCGCCGCAATAATACCACTGTTTTGATATTGACGTAACCGATACGCTCGTTTCTAGTAAAATGGCCAAACTCATTGCCCTCGTTTTGACTTTCCTCGCCACTCTCGCCTATTCTACACCCATCGATGCTCGGCATGGCGGCGGCCACGGCGGGAGTGGCTGTGGACCAAAACTGCCTCGCGACGGCAAGTGCTGGAAGGAAGCCCTCGGCCTGCGCTGGACAGTTCACGGTTTTGATTACCATGCCTCATACACCTTTACCAACCCAGCGCACCAAAACTCGTGGGGATATGTCAACTTCAACCTGACCAGCAATGTTGTCCCATACACTGCCGTTTGTTCTGCCTCCAGCAGCCAGCTCTCCAACTTTTTCTACGGAACCGTCGACTATTCCTGTAGTCTGCCCGCCGATGCGCCCGCTGGCGCCTCGGTTACGTTCCGTTATAGTAGCCCATCCGGTAAACTCGAGATCAAGGAGTCCTTCCTTTGCAACGAGGGAAAGGCGACGTATGCTTCCTGCCCCCCCCCGGTTCTGTTGCCGTTCTATTCTTGTTCGTGTAGTTAATGCAACGAGCTAACGACTATTTGTGTGCAACAGAGGAACGTTTGTGGTGACGGGCTCGAGTGATCTCACTCTGACATGCACGGATACGACCACGGTGACCCCAGATTGGAAACCCGGGCAGATATATAGCCAGCGTGTCATTGCATGCGAACCAGTTGATGTGACCTTCCAGCCTGCTCAGGTTGTTGGGTAATACAATGTACCTACCTATGCTGGATTGTGGTTCCACCTACCTAATTACGGGGCGGGGTGAGTGAGTTGGGATATAGTGAGGATTATGGATGATTTGCAACATAAGTCTAGCTCCTTTACCTTAATAAGCCTCAAAATTCATGGGCAGCGACACAATACTAGATTGTACGATCTGGCCCGGCTTGGCCTAGCTGAGGTCCCTGCTCGCTTCCTTGACCTTTTCTCTATTTCTCTGCTTGCTGCAGTCGAAGTGTCGAAGTAGGTACCCGCCCACCGGCGTTGAGCTATCCGCTTGGTGTCTACACGGCTCAGGACATAGAACTGAGGCCCCTCGCAATTGTTTTCATTTCTTCCTGCCCACTCACGGCTGGCCTTGGCCAGACCGATTGGCTGATGTCCGACGCCACTACCGATGCTATCTTGGTGTGTTGATACCTAAGCAGGGCCGGCTTCACCAACTACTTTCCCCTTTGTTCATGTACCTCCCAGTCCCATTGGAACGAACAGGATGAGAATCAAGTTCTACCGTACGGTGGTCTGCAAGCTCGGCGACATTGGTGATATCGGCAAGTTCACTTTTCACCGTCAATGGAGACATGGTGCTTTGCATCGTCGCCGACTCAAAGTCGTGATTGCCGAAATCGCTCCGAGGCACTCCTCCCGGAACCTCCCTCCTCCCTTTCCGCTTCCCTAGCCAAAAGGCCAATAAAGCGGCAAAAATAACGGCCGCGACGGGCCCAATCACGGCACCAGCGATCCAAGCTTGCGAGGCTGGAGAATCCGGTTGCCATGTGTTGGACGACTCCCCGGTGCTGGTTTCAACTACCGTTGATGAGATGGTCGATCCACGGGTACCAGTTTCAACCGCCGTGGACGAGCGCTCTCTGCCCGTCCCGGTACTCGATCCCGGCGGCGCAGTGGTCGTAGTTCCCACCACGATTTCCCGATATACGGTAGAGGCATCAAAGCCAGGCTGCACGCAGCCGATTGCCGACCAGCTCAGGGCAGCTGAGGGGTAGCTTTGGTATATGGTCATGGTATAGCAGTTGGGAATGTTGGTAGCGCTAAGGAATCGGTCAGATTCTACCATTGATTGATTGGCCTGATCGCGTGGGCTCACCAGACATAGGTCGAACCGTCTATTCTCGTCGCCGTCCCGGCGTTGCATTCTGTGAAGAACTGGCAATTCTCACCCGCCACACAACACGCCGCCCACGTGCTGTGCGTGGTATGTGTCGAGCCTGGGACACATGACCATGTCCCGACTACATTCATGCCGCGTCAGAACTCGGAAGTGAAGGTGGGTAAGATGAGTGAAACCTGTTAAGGTTAATCAATTATCACTCACCCGAGCCGGGAGCACTCGTTACGAAGCCCTGGAACTCTGTCGGCGTCGCATCCTTGGGGAATCTAAACGTCTGGCCGGAAACAGCACGGAGCTCGACAAGCATGGCTACGACGAAAAGGCACCTCCCGAGAGGGGAGAGATTCCGTGAGGAGGCCATGTTGACGACGAGAAGATTGTTTGGAGAACATGTCGTCGGCTCGGCCAGGTCCAAAAAATCGGAGGAAAGGAATCCGAAACGCGCTTCCTGACTGTGCCGCAATCCATGACAAAGCTCAGGCCACACGGCGGCACATATGTCCTGTTCAAGACGCGAGCCCAGGCGAGGCATTCGGAAATTAATTGATCGGCCCCTTGGAACTGGTCTCCACTCGAAAAACCACGAAGTGGGCTGTTCGGTTAACTACATCCAATCCTTCGCCGTTTTCCTACTGTCTGCCTCCCTCATGGCCTGGACAAAAAGGGCGTGTACACTATGTGGCCGTGCTCGGCGTACAACACTTGACTATACACCCAATAAAATAGGTACTTGGTTCTAAACGTTATTCGGCTACATATATCCGCTAAGCACCGTAGTTAAATTGTATCTCATACACTCGGAAATTGCGATCTTGTCGTGCCTTTCAGTCTTTTTCTAACCAGAGTCTTAGTTAATCAAACCTCCTTTTTTCTAACTAGGCAATTGGGTATCACTGATTAACCCATAGTTGGTAACCAGTAACAACTTCTGCTCTCTCTCTGGGTACGACTTGGGATGACAAGGAGGAACTTCCCTCTGTATTCAGTCACAGATTTGGGTGCTAGGGGTGTTCTCTGTTTTCTATATCTACGACCGATGTTGCTAAACGCAATGACTGGACTCGTTGAGATTAGGGTAGCCTGCGTCAAGATATTTGGATTTGCTGGCCATGTATGATCCGAGCTTCTGGCGTAAATGCGGGAACGAAAGTCGAGAGTGCAACTTAGGAGAGAAAGCGTGAGGGCGTCGTCGGACGTGCAATTGGAGGACGGGGGGGACCGTGCCTAGGAACATATCAGATGTGTTCTGTCACACAATTGCTTCTCGAGTAGATGCTGTTTTTCCGACCACGTAGATAAGGTCCCCGCATCTCACATAGCAGGAGTAACTGATGTGTGTGGATGGATGGTGCCGATATATACGATTGCTGTTCTGTACAGTGGCATCTCAAACACTCAAACCTTTGCCGCGGAAGCAGGGCGCAACACAAACGTGACCATGCTCCTCGACGGCACGCTTCCCGAGACCTTCCCAGTAGCATCCACTGTAGCTGCAATGGGGTTGCAATCCCTAGTGTTGTCTGTCACCCATGCCGTGGCATTGGTAGCCACAAAGTCGCCACCACCAACAGTGATAGTCACAGCCCGCTCACCGCCACTGTTGATAACCTGAACCGAGACCATCCCGTCCACGTTACGAAAAGCCGTCGTCCTCACGCCGCTACCTGAAGCCCCCACACGCACAGCGCCTGGTCTTACGAAGCGACTCCAGTTGGCCATTGCCCACAGGCGTTTGGATGGGTCAACTTGCCTGTTGACGACGCGGATCATTTTGCTGTTGGTGTTGCTGCTACGGTCCTGCCCGCCGATCCAGTATAGGTATGCCGACACATTACCGCCCGTGATGGCCGAGTAGATGTTGTTGGCCCACGTCATGCCCTCTCCCGCGCCGCCATTGGAGTACCACGCTGATGTCCACGCGCCGTTGTTGTCGGCACCCTCCGTCATCCACGTCTTGAGTTTGGTTGACAGCTGGGAGGTGGGGCTGGACGTGTAGCTGTGTCCCGTCACGGTGCCGAGGATGGACTGCGTGCTGCCCATCTGACTCAACATGCTGTTCATCACGGTCCATCCCATCGTGTCACAGCAGTTTATGATTACCGAAGCCAGGCCGTTTCTGTCAAGAGTCGGCCGAAGGACTTGGATAAAGTCGGCGGCCTGGGATCCAGAAGAGCGCATTGACGCATACGATGTCCTGCGTGAGTGTATTAGCGGTGATCGAGTGGTCTCGCAGGCTGGGGGGGGGAGGGGGAGTTAAGGGGGTGGGGGACGGGGACAGAAAGACTCACGTGTAATCAGGCTCGTTAAGAAAGCCAAGGTGGGTGATGGAGACGTTAGCGGCGGCGTAGTACTTGATGTACTGTACCAGGTAATTGGCAAACGCCTGCTTCCAGTCACCGCTGGAGCAGCTCGCCCCCGACACGCCACACAAGCTACCGCCGTTGGCATCGTTCCCATTCGTCTTCATGTACCCTGGTGCACTCCAGGCATTTGCGTAGAATGTCTTCACGCCATATGTGTGCGCCGCCTCGGTTGATACCCACAGCTGGCCGTTGTCAGACTCGTCCCAGACGTATTTAGGTTCGGCATTGGGACCCCCGGGGTTCCTCGGTTGAATCGATACCATGTGGTCGTCGCTCATGTCCGGGGAGGATCCGATTCCGTTTCGTAGGATACTAAGTCCAGCCCCTTTATCCATGCTGAACATCAGGTCCAAGAACTTGCGCTGCTCCGTTTCCGAGAGTCGCTTCATGGTCAAGGCGCGCTGGAAAGCTTCCGATGTGCCGAAGCCATCCATGGTTTGGTATGTTTTCCCGAGGTCAACTGTGATACCCGTAGCTTGGCGGGGTTCGATTATCATTGCCTTCATCCCCAGCGCGAGGCCGAGGATGGTTACCAGATAAAGGGAATGCATCGTGGTGAACCGATTGAGCGTAAAGTTTATCCCACCTAAAAGTCGGAACCATTAGGATCGGGCCACCGTTGGAATATATACATATCCGGCTTTCTTTTCGGACCCGGTCTTCATCTCCCAGATTCAGGGCTCTTGTTGTTGGCCTCATCATATCCGGAAGTATTTACAGGCTAGAGTTGTAACCACCAGTAGCCACGTGTGACTGGTGATTCTCCGGCGATTTTTCCGTAGCTTGGCACTTTGTCGTCGTCGTACTCTACATATAAAATACGCCAGCATAGAACAGGGGGGTTTCCGTCTTTCTGCCGTCCCGGGAAATTTTGCTGTCCAAGAGAAGAGGTCCCAGTATGGAGGGAATGCGGGGAGAATGCGGAAACTGTGCCACTTTAAGGGGGGCCACTTGGTTGGATGGACTTTTTTCTCTCCGTGTGCATTGATATGGGGAGGCGTCCTTCCGCAAGCGTAGTTGGTATTACCATGGATGCGCCAGACGACAGGCTTGCCACCTAGGAGCGTGCAGCGTGTTGACAGTTCTACCAGCTCACAGAGATATTGCAACGCGTGCGAGAACGGCCGATATACCCTCTGTCCCGCAGTGACAGATAATGTGTCAACTATCTAAGAAGGCCCAGGGTGACGGCTGAAGTGAAGGTCGCTCGCTTACTTGCCAATGATGGCGTCCGGGTGGCTACTATACCGTTTGAGTATTATTATTATTCATACTCCGCTATGCCCTAGGGCGTGCCGGACCCTCTGCTATTTTTAGTGTACAGGAAAACCGTGCCCTCCCGGGCCGGGTGAAAAACCCATACCAACAATCAAGGAGCGATGCGTTCTGGCGAGTCTGCGTATACAAAGAGAGGAGGCCTCCTGGCCTCCGAACGGGGGCGCTTCAGGCCGCCGCTTCCAGCTCGAGCCTCCTGGTTAAGTTGTACATCGACAGCTTCCCCGAGTCCATCAGCCAGTCGAGGACTCTCCTCGCGAGCCGTGCAGTTGTGGGATTGATGCCGTGTAGAACAGAGTAAAAGTCCCGTCGTGTCCGAATTCCAGTTCTCTCCCGTCTTCGAGTCAACGGTGGGGCCAGACACCACACCACCAGGTGTTCGGCAGTCTCTCGTCGCTCGCCACACTCGCAGGCAGGAGTCAGAACTCCCGGGACTCCCCGTGTAAACAAGAAGTCCCGTAAGCCTATTGCTCCCGTCCGGATTTGAATCAGCAGTGAGCTCTTTGCCTTGCTGAGACCGTCGTGCCTCCTTAGGGTTTCGTTCCGGAATAGCGTCTCCTGTTGATGGTCAAAGTCGTCCGCCGGCCTGGTGATCGCTCTGCCGTCCCGTTCCTTTAACCACCTGGCTTTCCAAGCCTCTTCCACTACCCTGTTCGTATCAACGGTTCCCCCCGTCCAGCGCATGACCGTGCCCGCGGCTCTCTCCACCGCCGTAGGCCCTTGAGGTCCCAAGGTTCGCGGTCGGCCCCTGTTGCCCCTCCTCGAGCTAAGTCTCTGCTGTATCTTGCGGCAGGCGGTGAGGACAACGCTCGCCGCCGTCTTCTTGCCGCCTTGACCGTCGTCCAGATCGGGTCGTTGGAGTCGGTTTTCGAAATCTGCAAGCCGTTTGTTTAGGTACGAGTCCAATGGTGGTACCCATGTCTCTGTCTCGAGGTTACGGATGAGGGGTAGACTTAAAGGCTCCCGCCCACAATCCGCAAGCTCTTGTTCCTGGGCCTTCCCGAGGGCCTTAGTGATGCCTTTCTTTACCGGCTCGCCTCCCACATCCGTGGGGATGTGAAACGATGATGCGCCATAGGCCCAGCGCCGACCGGATGCACTTTGTGTACACTTCTCGCGCTCTGGCTAGCCCCATTCCCCACGTCTTTGCCACGATCCTCGACCAGGGCATAGCTCTGGGTCCTCAGCTTCTTCTCCACCGCCACCAGGTGAGCCTTCCAGTTGAGTTTCCAGTCCAACCAGACCCCCAGGAACCTGGCAGACTCTTCTGGTTTAACGGGGCTAGTGCCTCCCCCTGGGTTGGCAAGGTTTACCTGTTTGGTCCACTGCCGTCGCCCTTTGTTGAAATGGATGAGTTCGCTCTTTTCCGGGGCGAACTTCATCCCCCCGACTGTCAGCCCATCGTATACACGTTTCCCACGCCGCCTCTAGTTGCCGGACATTGGCCTCGGGGTTTCAACCAAATACTAGGAGGTTGGTGTCATCCGCAAACCCTGTTATAGCCAAGTGAGGGTGCTCGTCTTTTAGCTGCTTGTATAATGAGGAAATGTAGAGGAGAAGAGAACAGGGGAAAGGTGGTGAGCCTTGGGGGACCCCTGCCCGAATTGCCGTCGGTGCCGCCATCTTGCCGTCGAAAAGAAGGGTGGCCTCTCGACCGGTCAACCAACTCTCTCGTCCATGAGGACCAGCCACCTCGGGAAGCCCAGTTCTCGCGTGTCAAAGGCTCCTGAGATGTCCAGTTGCAATAGGGATGCCGCACCCTTCTGTCTCCACGCCTCCTAGACCTGGGCTACTACTCGCCGGACAGCCAGCTCTGTGGAGCGGTGTGCCCTGTTCCCCATTTGTTCATCTGGTAGGAGGCCGTTGACTTCTGCAGCTTGAGTGACCTTCCTGGCGACCACTGACTCTATTACCTTCCCCAGGGTTGGCAGCAGAGCAATGGGCCTGTATCCCCCCGGGGTCTGATACGCCGGCGGAGCCTTTCCTGGTTTCGGTAGTACTACAGTCTTCGCCCTCTTGAAACGGTTCGGGAACCATGCTAGCTCCAGGCACCTTGTCGCCAGAAGGGCCAGCACTTCAGCTAACGGTGCTCCGCACGCCTTCAGAAGGCCCATCGGGAGCAAATCCTCGCCTGGCGCCTTCCAGGGGCTTGCTCTTCCCATCGCCTCCGTCATCTCGGTCGGCGTCACTGCCTGTACGACGTCGAAGCCCGGGTTCCAGCTGCCCAAAAAGGCTTGGTCTTCCACGTCCGTCAGGTTGGCCGGTGGGTCCGGGAAGAACCTCTCGGTCGGCGCGCTGGCCTTCTGGTCGTGCGTTTCGGCCGTTACCTGTCCGGAAGAGTCCTTAAATTCCGGCAGCCTCGGTGGTTCTGGCGGCAAAAAGCTCCGCAGCCTAACCCATCTTTCCAAGCTCCACATCTGATCGGGCTTCTTTGCCTCGCTTGCTTCCTGCAGGTTGTTCCTCCAAGCCCCCGTCCGTGCTTCGCGCGTTGTTCTAGCAAGGTCCTTGAGCCTTTCGCTAAGCTCCTCCCAGCAGTACTCTGCCCGAGTCTCCTTCGCCAGCCTCTCGGCCCTCCTGGGCCTCCCGGGCGGCCTGCTGCACCTCCACAGTCCACCAGGGAGAGCTGTAGCCGCAGCCCGCCTTCTTCCGTGGAGTGCTTTCCTTCGCGACCCAGGTGAGCCACTCGACCAGGCTATCGAA